AAAGGATGCATCTTGTTAGCTGTAGTCATTTTTTCACAAAGAAGCAGTAATATGATATAACCACATAACGTCTGAGGCTACTTCTACACTGGCCTTCTTGCGCAAAAAAACGCACCTGGGCAAGACCATTCTGCCACTTATTTTCAGGCAGAACGGCTTTTGCGCAAAAGCCCCTTGTGCAAAATGGCAGCTCATTAAGTATGCAAATGAGGCACGGAGATACTCATCGCCACACCTCATTTGCATAAGTTCTTGCACAAGACTGGCCAGCGTAGACGTAGCCTTAAGGAAAATGTATTGTCATTTTGCTCAAAGCAATCCCATTTCACTAGCACTGTAGATGTTCTTGGCCCAGAAGACTGCCAGCAGTTGTTACATCAAGCATCAGTATCATCTTTGCTCCTATCCAAGTGCCTTTCCAGGTACCTTCTGTACGCCAATTTGCTTTATTATATAAAAGAGATATACAGGTTGAACCTCCCTGGACCAGCATCCTCAAAACTTGACTAGTCCTGAATGAGGGAGTTTGCTGTTCCAGGGGATGTCAATTGCATCCCTCTGCTGATGGGACTCCAGGCTCTCCTGCCCTGAGGCTGCTGGCTCCACTAGCCAGTCCCTGCCACAACATCTCTGCTGCCCTGGGGCCATCTGGCTCCACTACCCAGGGTGCTGGTCAGCATTCCCTCTAAGCTGCACAGCTTCATAGGTGATTAATCAGCCCCACCCAATCAGAGGCTCAGGGCTCCTTGCATGGAACTGACTAACTGGGCAGGGCTGATTAATCACCTGTGAAGCTGTGCAGCAGGGAACACTGGTGCTGGGGCTACTACAGCTCTAATGCCCTGAGACCCTGCTGTCCTGCAACCATCATGGCTCCACAGCCCCCAAGGCTATAGATCTTCGGTACTGGGACTGCCAGAGCTATGGGGCCACTGGGTCCCCATTCCCCAACCCTTCCTCAGGGTACCTTAGAATAGGAGTCATTCACTGCTCAAGTCAGTATATGCATTTAAAACCTGTTTTGCTAGAGACACTGTAAATTTATAGCATTATCAATAGAATTCCCAACTTAACTAAATTAGACACATAGTGGATGCTTTGATGTAGCCTCTTGATGGTTCATGTAGCTGATTTCTACCGAAGTTTGAAATACTCACCTCTAATCTTTATATATTGTAAATTTTACAACAGGATCACAGAAAATGATAACATTGCTATGTTAGCAAAGATAACCGATTGCCTTCCTGTATACATAGCCAAAGGGGTTGCTATGGCAGCTTTCTACTTTGCTAGATGTCTCCAGTTTGGCCTGGGCATACAACAAGATCAAGTTGCAGCTAAAAAAAATTATTCTAGGGTAAGCCTGGGGAGCCCTACAATTAACTAATGTAGTATAAGATGAATGTTATTTTGAATGTAAGTGCTTAAATTTGCTGTACAGTTTCATTAAAGGCTCCAAAATATTTACTATCTATATTTAGTACATAAAAATATTCTGCATTTCAAAAAACATTGAAGTTAAATAGTCACATTATTCAAAACAATCTTGCAAGATTCTACTAACCTAAAGCAAATTATTAATTTTACTTGCCTATCAAAATATTGTAATAACAAAAGCAGGTGAATAGAACCTATGACTGGGTTGGTAGTCTTCATGACAATTTTTCCAAGGTGGATAAAGTGTTAAATAGCATTGGTTTCATTACTCTATTGTTTATACTTGCCTCTTCAATTCAAACACATAACTTATTTCTTTGCTTATTTGCAAACCTTTATGCCTTTAAATCCCAGCATTTTCTATTATGATCTTTTCAAGTATCAACTTCTTTTTTTCTCCACTTATCTGTGCTGTGTCACCGATATAAGCTTAGCTGTGGGGCTAGTGTTGACTAGCCAAGTGCTGTTGTACAGAGAACACACTAAGTCTTAAATACAAAAAATGCCCTTTTAAAAAAATTGTGAAGTATGTTTTTTCAAATGGATATATTAGTATAGCGGTAGTGTGACAGTCAGAATGAGAATGTGGTTGTGCACAGGTAGGGACTGTACAAACACACAGGAAGACACAATCCATGTCTCTAAATGGTTTACAGTCTGATTGTGTTAGAGGGCAAATCAAATTTTGGGCCAAGAATAGGACTACTGTGTCTAGTTTGTAAAACCCAAATAAGCGAGAACTTTGCCAGAGTTAAATTACTAACAAAATGAACATCAGTGTGGCTTCTTGCTCAGAGGATTCCATTGAAGTCAATGGGATTGCAGAACAGGTGGTGATAGTCTTTCAATTATTTTCTTCACTGTGAAGTAGCTACACTGTATAAAAAAAAACCAAAAACCTAAAGTTTAAAGAATGTAGTGAAAAGTGCTGGACAAGCAGTTTTAAAGCATGGTCACTGTCTTTCCATAGAATAGGTTCGTCAGGGCAGGATCAGTGCAAGCTTTCCTCACACTGACCCTCATTGTTTCACGCCTGTTCTAGAGTGACCACTTCAAGTGAAAAAGTATTTGTCTCCTTGCATACTCAGCCCATTCCATCTCTGTTCAGAGAGCCAACAAGGGTGCCAAATGAAAAGATGGGCATCCATTCTCGCACTTCATTTCACACCAAAGAGCCATCAGGTAGTAACAACTTTCAGTCATTAGTAGCTTACAGCAGATTTGAGCTAGTGACCTAGAAGTAAAAGACCCTATATCCCAACAGCAGCTTTTTGCAGCATGTATTCCCCTGGGGACAGTGACCAGCATCATTTGTGTCTTTTAGCTTTATGGTTGGAAACCATTTGGTAATTTAATTATATAGTTCCCTCCCTTTATAGTGAAACATATCAAAACCCAATTTGCCTGTTTTACCATATGCACTTAAGATAACCAAGGATACTTTACCTGTAAACCAGGTTCAAATTTGGCCCATTCCGTTTTGCAGAGGAGAGAGGAAAGGAATCACAGAGGTTATATGAACAGATCATTGTGCTGAGGGGAAAATGAATAGGAATCAGAAAACTACCTGCAAACTGATTTACTTCTATTGCTGGGTATCCACACAAGTCATACCAAGTTACTTGGGAGATGTGGCTTTTGTCTAGATTCTTCAAATATTCTTCAGCTTGAGTGCATCTGTTACAAATAGCACACCAGTTTTGTTGACTTAGAGTTAGAAAAAGGGGTGTAAAGGTTAAAGTTTGCTTTAGTATTTAGTAAACTGATTCTCAAACAATTTTGATAATACTGGGCCTTTTTTTAAGTTGTTACATTTTTAGTGCACAATACAAACTAAGATTCCAGTTTTGTTTGTAAAATATAACTTACTATTCTGTTTGTTTTCAAAGGCATGCCTTCTGGATCCTGATGTAGCTTCTGACCTTGAATTGGCAGCTAATCATGGGAGAATTTAGAACATTTCACATTTAGCCAACTCTCAGCTGTTTCCAATGCTGTTTCACATAGTAGGCCATGTTTACCTAGAGCAGTTAGGTAGATAATCACCTATTTATTTGTTTTTCAGCTTTTTATAAATCATGATAATTATGTAGTATTTGTTGATTAGAACATAGACCATTTTGCTGACAGTGATTTTTTGTTCATAACTCTTACTTTACATATACATTGTAGAGGCAGATTATCTTCCTTTTTTCATTTTACAGAAATGAACTGGGCACTTTATTGACACAACTCACCTGTATATCTTTCTTCAACTCTGCTAAAATCGAACTAAAATCAACTTGTTAAAAGAAATCATTCTTAATGTCAATTTTCTTTACTTACAAATATTAAAGATCTTCAGGGTCAGCAAAATCTTAAGATTTCTGAAATGCTTGTTCTTAAAAATAGTGTCCTTTTTCATATTCATTCTATTTACAAGTTATATCATACATTTAAATAAAGTATTTTGTAGTGGAGTCATAATTAAAGGTGTGTGCTTCTTTCACATTTAAAACTTTTTCCTGTATACTTTGCACTCTCCCATATCTCTGAAATGGAATAACTTTCTCAAAAACAGCTCTTAGATGGTAGCAGAATAAGGTTGGAAACAGACACAAATGATAGATACTTGGTATGGTCTATACTGTAAACTAACTTTCAGTATTGGGAAACCCTGTTTATAGAAACTAATTCTAGAAAAAAAAATCTACATTTATACTAGTGAAATGGTAATGTGCATATATATTTCTAGACTAGTGGTCTCCAACCTTTTTACACCCAAGATCACTTTTTAAATGTCAGGACAAGCCAAGATCTACCCCATGACCCCACCCCTTCTTTGAGACCCCGCCCTCTCTGTTCCCCTTCTCTCCATCACTTACTATCCCCAGCCCTAATACACTCTCAGGGTAGGGCTACACTGCCGCTTTTATTCGATCCTTCTGTTGGAAGAAATTTTTCCAACATATGGCCCATCTAGACTGGGCCAAATGTCAGAAAACCCCCTTCTTTTGGAAGCCCCCTCATTCCTTGTGGAACGAGGAATACAGGGGCTGCCAAAAGAGTGCGTTTGCCAGAAAAACTCCTGCAGTGTAGCCTCACTGTGTTGAGATAGGAGGTACAGGCTCTGGGGTGAGAAAGGGTGAGAGGTACAAGCTCTGGGAGGGAATTTGGATGCAGGAGGAGGTGGAGAAGGGGATGCGGACTGAGGGAGGGGGCTCCAGGCTGGGGAATGTTGGGCTCAGGTGGAGTGTTGGGGTGCTGAGCAAGCCACAGGCTTGTGGAGGGGGAGAAGTGTGAGAGAGGCGCAGGGCAGGGAGGTTGGGAGTATGATGGGCTCAGGACACAGATTTGCAGTGTGTGGATGGTGCAAGAGTGTTGTGGCAGAAGGCTGAGGATGTGGGGGTGCAGGAGTTTGGGGATGTGAGAGGCTCAGGACGGGGTTACAGTATATGGTAGGCTCAGATTTGGGGTCGGGGTGTGGGGTACAGGAATGTCATGATGCTGTGGACAGATGAGGGCTTGGCCCCAACTGGGGGCTTGTTGGCCAGGCTTCATTTTTAAATAAAATATGTCAAACACAAAAGATTTCAGCACTGTCTTTATTTATGAGAGGGGCGGGGAACCTGTTTTGAGTTGAGGTCACTGACGCACAGAAAAGTCAATCAGGGCCACACAAGTCAGATACAAAGACACAACCCATCAAGCCTCACTAATGTGGCCCTAACTGTGCTAGTGGGGGCAGGGGACAGGGTGCCAGTGCGTGCTGGGGCAGGGTACTTGTGGGGGTCTGGGTGGGAAGAGGGGACAGGGACTGATACCTGGGGATCCTGCAGCTGTGCGCCAAGGCCCAGGAAATGTGCAGGCTGCTCCCCCAGACCGCAGCACGGTACCTGAAACACTGGTCTGTTGCGTGCCTGATGCCTTCCTGCACGGGGTGGGAACGGGGAGGTGGAGTCCCGGACCACGCCAGCTGGAGCCGGCCTGCTGGAGACTTTATTTCCCTGCTGCCTTCCTGAGAGGAGGAGTTCCGTGCCTTGCTCCTCCGCTCCCCACGGCAGCGTGCACTGCCCGAGCACCTGGAGCCAGTGTGCTGGGGACTTTATTCTCCTGCTGCCTTCCTGTGCAGGAGGGAGGGGGAGTCCTGGCCTGCGCCAGCCCCAACCGCTTGGGCAGCGTGTGCCCTTGCTCCTCCACTCCCCACGGCAGTGAGCACCGCCTGAGCAGCGGGAGCCGACGCAGTCCCGGATCCCCACCCCCTTCCTCGCATGCAGGAAGGCAGCAGGGGAACAAAGTCCGCAGCACACGACGGACTGGTGTTTTAGATACCGTGCTGGCTTTTGGGGGAGGGGGAAGGAAGAGCAGCCCACGCACTTCTGGGACCTGGCGCGCAGCTGCAGAACTCCCTCTTACCCCGCCGGAAGGCCGCACTACCTCCGTTGTCCCTGGAGGTGGCATCAGAGCAGTGTTCATCTTGGGGGTGGGGGCCAGTGAGGGGGGGGGTCCCCCGAAAGCCTCACGATCGACCATTCGATCATGATCGATGGGTTGGTGACCACGGTTCTAGACTATAACTATCTGTCTTAATCCTTATCCATATTGGAGTCTTAGCTATTGCTATTAATACGAACTGACATCTCAACTGTCAGAAAAAGTAGCCATAGGTTACACCATGGAGCAGCCACATTATACTGTACCTTCTACTGTATCACTTTCTCCCCTGTGAGATTTGCCTATTGCTGTATTCTGGTTACATATTCTCAAGTTTTTAATTATATAGCTTTCCATCTCCAACAGAATGTAGGTAGCTCTTTAAGCTATGCTGTGGAATAGGAAACTGAAAGCTGTATTATCAGAGAAATCTTGCTGTTACAATAAACTTCACAGTAGTATATGGGTGTTGGTTTCAAAACTTAACTGTAGTCCGTCTAAATTGTAAGCCAGTTGCTCTCTCTCAAAGATACCACAGTTATATTGACTTAGTGTAAAAGAAAGTAATGATTGTTACCTACAAACATTTGATGGTATTCAGCTGTTCATGTGTTCATTACAACCATTTACATGTTCTTACACATGAATGAAAAAGCACTACACAAAGATGTATTTGTTTTACTTCCCTTGCATAAAATCAGGACTAGATTTAAAAGTTATGTGCATTTAAACACAGCAATCCTGAATAATGTCAGAGTGCAATAAGAGTGCTTTGAATGTCAGCAAATCAAGGCAGTAAGCAATTTCTAATTAGTGATTGATCAGATGCATTCCATTATGACACACTCATTCATGTGACCTGTTGGACAGACTATATAGTATGGTGAAAATATTCTCTCTGCAAGGAATGATTCAAACTCATCCACTAACTACTAATTATCATTAAATACCATAATCCAATTTTGTATTTATTGCTTACAAATGCTTCAAATTATGGTACGTCTTTGGTAAAAATAAAATAGATAAAATTTCCACAATAACTTTACATGAAATATTGCACAACAGGGCTCTTCAATACACAAGAATAAAGGAGTATTCAAATCCTCAATGAGGAAATTAACTGTACAACATTAATTAATTTACCACTATTAAGCAAAACTTCATTTATCATAAACGTTTAAAATATTTTCTAGAGTCTTACAACTTATATTAACATTTATATTTCAGTCTGTATCTTAAACCAAAAGTATTCAAATATAACAATTTAAATAAAACTGGCAATTATACAGCATTGTTCTTCTACCCTACTACAGCATCAGATCTTTTCAAGTCTGTTTACTTCACATAAAACTGGAGAAAGAAAACTAAAAAATACTTAATAGTCCTCAGCCCTCTGTGGAAAAGAGGAAGATAAGGTTCATGTCTATTTTTACACAGACATTTCTTTAGTGGTTCACTTGTGCAGATTCAAACATGAGCAGCTTTAAGCTGCTCTGAATGAATTCTTAGCTCAGGACACAGTTCAGTTAGCAGCAGTTCCAACAAGACCTGAAAAAAAACAAAAAAAGAAAACCACTCCAGTTATGTAAAGAGCAAACAAAAATTTCTACCTCCCTTCTGAGCTGTTCTGAGAATCATAAATAATAGGATCACCAGGTTCATACATTTCATCTTACATGGAACTATCATAAATTTCCCATATGCCAATATAATCATGCAGCGCTGTGTTATTTGCATTACCTCAAAACTGATTTCACAAAAGATGACCTAGAAAATCAGTTTCTAATCATATGAGAAAAAGGAAGCTGGAGGAGGGAGTTGTCAGTGTTGACACAATGTGCAAGATCCTCATCTGGTATTAATTGGAACAACTCTACTGAAAACATATCAGCTAAGGATCTGTCCCACTATATCCAAGAGGATCTCTATCAGGTGTAGAAAGCAGTACAGTAAACTTCCGATAATCTGGCACCTTTAGGACCCAGGGGGTGCCGGATTATCAAATATGCTGGACTATCAGAAGGGGGGGCTATGAGGGGTCTGGAGTGGGGTGGGAGGAATGCCACCCCAGACCCCTCATAGCCCCCCCTTACGATAGTCCGGCTCTGCCCCAGGCGTCCCCAAGAGCAGCTGGGGTGCTGCTGGGTTGGTCCCGCAGCCCCAAGGGGCAGCGCTACGAGACCAACCCGGTAGCACCCCAGCTGCTCTGCTCCCGGCTTCCCAGATTCAGCTGCTGGTCAGTTTCAGCAGCGGCTGAATCTCAACACCTGGGGCAAACCAGCTGGGGTGCTGCCGGGTTGGTCCCGCAGCGTCGAGGGATGGCGCTACGGCACCACCCCAGCAGCACTCCAGCTGCTCTGCCCCAGGCGTCCCCAAGAGCAGCTGGGGTGCTGCTGGGTTGGTCCCGCAGCCCCAAGGGGCAGCGCTACGAGACCAACCCGGTAGCACCCCAGCTGCTCTGCTCCCGGCTTCCCAGATTCAGCTGCTGGTCAGTTTCAGCAGCGGCTGAATCTCAACACCTGGGGCAAACCAGCTGGGGTGCTGCCGGGTTGGTCCCGCAGCGTCGAGGGATGGCGCTACGGCACCACCCCAGCAGCACTCCAGCTGCTCTGCCCCAGGCGTCCCCAAGAGCAGCTGGGGTGCTGCTGGGTTGGTCCCGCAGCCCCAAGGGGCAGCGCTACGAGACCAACCCGGTAGCACCCCAGCTGCTCTGCTCCCGGCTTCCCAGATTCAGCTGCTGGTCAGTTTCAGCAGCAGCTGAATGGGGAAGCCTGTTCGGCTGGCCCAGCACTTCCGGGTTCCTGATGGTGCCGGACCATCAGGAGTCCCGGAGCATTGGATGCCAGACTAATGAAGTTTTACTGTACTAAGTTGTATTTCTGTCTGAACCAGAAGTTTCTTTTTTATAAACATTTGTTCAACATGCAAAATTAGAAAGTTTAAATGACAATTTAAATGCAGATTTTTGTAACATCCCTTTACTGGGAAAAGAATCATTAAAAACTTTGTAAACCTTCTAAATATAATAAATCTCTGCAAGAAAGCAATTTCTTGTTTATATGCATGTTGACATTTCTAAGCCTACCAATTATTTGTATTGTCATAACACCTAGGAGTCCTACTGATGGACTAGGACCAATTGTGCCAGGCACTGTACAAACAAAGAAGATAAAGACAGTCTTTAAGGTTCTAATATTGAGCCATTAGAATATTCAGAACTTAGTAGGCTAATCAAATTCACAGAGAACACTCTGGTTACTCACATATAGTAGATGCTTATTGGCTCTAGTTTCTTGCAGTGCATTGAACACTTTGATTATACCATGACGGGCATTTTGTTGTCCAACAAGGCTTTGCAGAGCATCTGCAACAAACATTTTAGATTATATTTTTATACTGATGTTGATAAAAAATTATCTGCTTACAATTACTCAATGGCAACTACACCAGAAGATACCACATAACATAACAGGGACGAGAATTATACTGATAAGCAAGAAACTGAAGTACACACTTAACTTAAAACATATAAGCTGTCAATGAATGAGACTACTTGCGTGCTTAAAGTTAGGCATATGATTAAGCATCTGCATCAAATATCTTTACAATCAGAATTTTGTTAATGCTGTTTTGGTTACACCCAGTAATTGCTATGATCAAAGATATACACTGGGCATATTGGGTGTTTAGCAGAACAGAGCACCAGGCCTGTATTCTCATATTATTCAGATATTCACATACTGTACACAACATAACTGTAGATACGTGATACCATTAAGAAAATTAGTCAAAAATATCAGTATCTGATCATCTGAACAAGTTATTTGAAGGAGACATGTACCTCAGTTTTGTCACAGTGCTGTCTCTTAATATTAAAAAGCCTACATATCCCCAAATACAGAGCAATAAAAACATTTCTAAATGAATAACTAGGGCTTTCTTGGTTGACCATTAGCAACATGTGGCACATTCTGTTTTGTTATATAAACATAATCTAAAACAACCTGTGTTTTTCATGAAGAAACTATGTTCAACTATTTTATTTAAGCCAAGTACAATGTACCAAAAGCCAAATATGATGTTCTTTATACTATATTTCAAATATTTTCAATGCACATCTTGGGCTACGTCTACATTGGCCCCTTTTCCGGAAGGGGCATGTTAATTTCACGAGTCGTAATAGGGAAATCCGCGGGGGATTTAAATATCCCCCGCAGCATTTAAATAAAAATGTCCGCCGCTTTTTTCCGGCTTTTAGAAAAGCCGGAAAAGAGCGTCTACACTGGCCCCGATCCTCCTGAAAAAGCGCCCTTTTCCGGAGGATCTTATACTTTGAAGTAGGAATAAGATCCTCCGGAAAAGGGCGCTTTTTCAGGAGGATCGGGGCCAGTGTAGACGCTCTTTTCCGGCTTTTCTAAAAGCCGGAAAAAAGCGGCGGACATTTTTATTTAAATGCCGCGGGGGATATTTAAATCCCCCGCGGATTTCCCTATTACGACTCGTGAAATTAACATGCCCCTTCCGGAAAAGGGGCCAATGTAGACGTAGCCCTTGTGTTGTGTTTTGTCTGTTGAACATAAATTTAAAATTACTGAAAAGTGTGTGTAACAGAGAGATTAGTGAAGCAGTCGAATATATCATTGAAGCCTACTTTCCCAAGGTGATAAAGAAATCAGGTAGTAGGGTATTTAGGGTATTAGGCTAAAATTTGAAATCCATCTTTACAATTATCAGCAACAGCCACATCTCCTGAGCTCTCATTGCCAGGACACATATCTCTATCAAAAATGTAATTATCTTTAAAGGAGGAAAAGATTAACTTAAACTTTGCCTACAATGAAACATGGTGTAACAGGAAGCTATATGGAAATGGCTAGGTCATCCTCAGAAGAGGAAGAAGCTGCAAGTAAGTATTGGCTTGGAAACTATATTATCAACTAAGGGTGTATAGGATAGTAATTTCAAAGAAAAGGAAAATGTGTGTGCTCTACTTTTGTGCAAGGTATGTGATAGCAATAGGAATGGCTCATATAGCATGCTGAGACCATGTCTACAAAGTAAAGCCAAGAAGATCTAACAGGTGAGCAGCACTTCTGAAAATCAGGCCACTTAGGTTAGTTTCTTAAACCCAAATAGCTCATAAATCAGAGCGTGAAGGGTTGTGCCTAAAATATTCTGTACTTTGACTGAATGGAAAGAGATGTTAATCTGTAGGACAAGTTTAATGTATTAGCTAAACTGCTCAGAAGAGGTTAGAACATGGAATTCAGAAAGAGGAATTCTGGATTTTTTTTCTTGATCCTATCCCTAAATTGTTGTATTTGGCACTGGAAACGTTTAAACTCCCATCTTACCATCTGACGGGGGATGGCAAGTGGCATGAGTGCAGGTCAGAGTAGAAGAGGGTGGCCGTGCAGCCAGAGAGAAGTGGTGCTTTGAAAGGAAAACTGCCACTTTTTTCCAGCTGGCAATTGTGTTACAGTTCCCTGCTCCTTCTGAGTTCTCTGATCCACCCTTACACCACTCACCATTACCTGGTAAGCGAGGATGAGGTGCAGACTGTGAGGGGAAAGGAGCCACTGGACCCCATATGGAGCCTGCAACTGCATTGGTTACCATGAAATTTGGGGCAATGTGGTGCCCCAAGCAGCTGTGTGTTTTGTTTATCAGTAGGGGACAACCTTCTGGAAGAGGCTGATTCTGAAATCTCAGCTAACGGAGAAGAGTCAAATCCTACAGGCCTCACTACCATTTTTTAAAATGTTGTTAGAGGTGGGCATAGAAGTCCGATTCTGCACTGAACAGCACTGCAATTTGCCTTCTAGAGGTGCTAGGAATAAGGCCCAGGATTAAGATTGTGCCTGTTTTCAGCATTAGAAGGTATGATCTATACTGCAAAGAGAAAAGTGTAGGGCTAGCCTTTGTTTGTTCCAAGTGTGGTTATGTAGCTCACCTGGAATGAAACACAGATGATGGGCTCACCTGGAATGTTTTCAAGTAGTTTTTGCTGTGCTCTCTGTTTTGTCTCCTGACTTTGCTCTTCACTTTTGGATCTTGTTGGGGCTGCTAATTTTCCATTTGGCCAGAAAGCATCTCGGAATACACTGATGTAGTAAACAAGCATTGGCTCGCTGAATATCCAGCTTACTGTGTCACGTATTTGTCTTTAAAAAGAAATGACTGTGTCATTAGTCATACAGGGCGCCCCCACTATAAGTCGCCCCGGCATACATCCATTCCGCACTAAATTCGTTGATGCTTGTAGGAATGGATGTGTTATACGGCCTCCCATTCCCCACTCTTAAGTCACACACACACAAAAAATTGTGCAAATGGAAGTCAGCCGCAGGGAAAAAATTCCCTGCTTTAAGTTGTTTTGCTATAAGTCCAAGTTTTTTGGAACGTATCTTGGATTTATAGTGAGGACGGCCTGTACCTCAGATGTTACACAAAAAGAAATAGTGGAGGCCACAACCAATTTTATAAAACTGTACCAATTTATTATTTCAGTTGATTTGGCTACTGCCCCCCACTTCCTATTATGTTATGTGCACTCTGATTGGAAATGAAACTTGAGTTGCTCCAAATGTCTGATACAGGAGTACGGAAAAGACGGAACTCAGTGCAATGTAAGGAACACACATATTTACACGAGTGGACCATAACATTACATCAGGGCCATATACAAATGCGCCCTCCTTAGGAGAAGCAGAGGAGTGGGAAAATCTGCACCGATAAGCAAAATAGTAGTTGGGAACCACAACTTGATAGCATGGGCATAAGTTCCAGACAGATAAAACAGGATGAAGCTTTTTCTAGAAAAGTACCCTGAAAACGCCTTAATCAACTGTGCTACAACCATGCAAACTGAGAGCTAGTAACCTCCTGCTGGGGCTAACTATTATCTCAGGCACCCTTCACTTAAAGAGCTCAAGTTCTGGGATATACAACCAGCTCCAAAGCAAGGACCTACCATCAGGGCCATCCCTAGGGGAGTGCAGGGTTTGGGACAAATCAGCCTATATTGGCCCTCCTTAACATATTTTATACAGATGAAATCTAGTTATAGTGAACCTAAAGGGCAGCTATAGGTTAAATAGTGATAGTGCCCAGCTATATGATTAGCTATATTGTACATATGTATAATTACAATGAAGCTCCTATAATAAAACTCACCATGAGGCAGCCAGAACTCAAGACATCTCAGGTGTCCGGTATTCTCTGAATATTTTTACCAGACAAGAGCCGAAAATACCAGACTGTCTGGGTGAATACCGGACACCTGGCAACCCTACCCTGAGGTGTACATGTAATTAGCATTACATGGAAAAGATTACAACCACCTTCATCTTTAATATGGAGATATGGCCTTCAGAGATAGAATAGAGATTTTCAGAGACACAAATGGGAGGTAGTCAATGAGAGGGGAATGACTTTCTTTTTAAAAATGACTCCAGGTTTATGTAGGAGTAACATCAGGCATTCTTCAACTTGTCAAGAATTTTTCAATTTTAGTGTGGACCCCATTTAAAGAGAGAGAGAGAGAGAGAGAGAGAGAGAGAGAGAGAGAGCGCAGCCCATAGACTACTTCTTTTCTATTCACTATTGCTGAACATCCCTTAATCACTATGGCAATTGCTTAGACAGAAAAGTCATTATTGAAGAAATATTTAGGGCAAAATCCTTATCCCATCTCTGGACCCTTTACTCATAAAGTGACACATATGTATTTGGCTGGGAGGATTTTCCCAGGGAAAAAAAACCTGTGGAAGACTGCTATAAGGCTGCCTTCTGAGGACCATCTAGCAAACCCTGACACAGGTGGTTTACCAGGGATGGGGGCCCAAAATGCAGCACTGAAGAGATTCCAATCAAAGCTGTGACCTACAAAACAACTAAGGATGCTGCCATAATTCTGGGAGCTTCCCAAAACTATCTAAATCAGGAGTAGGGAACTTAAGGCCCAGGGGCAAAATGTGGCCCCCAGCTTGCCTAGATCTGGTCCCCGAGGCTTGGGACTCCCTCCTAACATTGGGGAGCCCATGCTGGTGTTCCAGCTCCTCCCTGCCATCTTCTCAAAGGGCTGGAGCACACAAAAGTCTACTAGCTTGGGCCCCGCAAGGCTCTGGTGTGCAAGGGGAATGTGACGAGTGTCCTTCCCCTTCTCAGTTAGGGGTCACATCAGTGTGAGGGGTTGTTTTCATTTGGTTGGTTGGTTGGTTTGGTTTGGTTTTTTTGCTTCTCACTTGTGCGTGGACTCCTGATTGACAGCGGCCTCCAACCCAAATTTTGTGGGCCATGGAGAAGCCCAGAACGGAATGGGTAAAAAGATAGTTTAAAGCCATCTTAGCCTCCACCCATCCTTCCTGGGACACACCTTCAAGAAGTGCAGTGCAGGCTCTCATCTTTTCAGGATATTAGCTGTCTTTTATGCAATTTAGCATTGATACCAAGGGGGAGAGCTAGCACAATGTAGCTAACCAGCTCCTGATGTACCACTAGCAAGCGCACCATGGTCTACAATTTGATAACTTTGGACTTAGTTTTCTTGTGTCCCCTCTGATGGCTTTATACCAATAACTTTCCCCAAACCAATAAGATGAGAGATATTTAAATGTAATGTTCAAGATTTAGAAGTTTAACACAACAATGCAGAGTAACAAATTATCTCATTTTTGTAAGGTTTTTAAAAGCTTTTTTAGACCCTTAACTGGTGATTAAACCATGCAAGGATCCATGGAAAGCAAAAACCAAGATTTGCTGATGCCAAATTTCTGATCTATCGAATGACTAACAGGCGCTTACATTAGCAGAGAGACTGTATTAGTCAACATTTTTTAACCAAGAAAGGACAAGTTTTTTCCACAATAGTTTCCATGAAGAGATTTCCAACTGTTTACTCAGCTCTGTGATGACCACATAGCATGGGCCTAAACCTCATGACAACATGGAAAAGTCTTCTTGGACTAGCAGACCACACTAATGAAAACGGACAATTTGGCTTACCAACAATGGTTATATGTTTTACCTTACAAATAAATGGCATTCATCCTCCTCTCTATTTAACATTGTTTCTATCATTTAGGTAAATTTATAGTCTCTTCTACAATGGAACAGCTTAATATAAAAATCTAATTTTAGCACTAGAGAAAATATTTGTGGGTTCACAAGAAAAGCAGATAGACCCAGAAAATAAAAGCCACTCAAACCAGTACTATATGTTTAACTCCTTCACAAAATACAGGATAGTATCTAAGGAGCTATGTGGTGCTAATTCACTCTGAAGAAAAAATGAACTGTCCATTTCTATAGCTTGATGCCCATTTCTCATCAATGAAATATATTTACTCTTTTGTAATTTAATTCCCCAAGTGCCAAATCCCTATGAGCCAATCTTGATTTCAGAATTGTGGTTTAGATTATATGAACAGAACCATAATGCCACACACCTGCCTCAATAGATGGGAAACTTGATGGGACCAGTAGTGATTGGGACAGCCCCATTGGAAATGGGGAGGAAGAGCACACATGTTGGGGAAATGCCAGGTGACCCTTATTCCTCTCTAGGCTCTATCTACCCATTAGTCAGCCAGAGAAGAAGGAAGGATGACTGGCCCCTAACTCTCCCATTTCAGTCCTTGGGAGCTCCTTCTTAATCCATATTCCCAGTCTATGTTAGATTCACCTCTGAACAACATAAGAATAAACTTAATTTTAAGTCCCAGCAAGATAAGCATGTTCATAACTATATGAACAGTGTCTACAAATATTTTCAGTCTGCTGTAGTTATTTATTCATACAGTAATGATTCCAGAATCAGAGTTAAAGCAACTTACTTGTTGATAGTTCTTCCAAAAGTGACTTGTACTAGTGCAATTAGTGTCTTTCTGACCCACTTAAACACTAGAACAACGAAAAAGGAAAGAAAAGACCAGATATTCAGTAACACTATAGTTTTCACAATCATGACCCAAAAACTACAATACATGTATCTATTATCTGTATTGTTTCACTTTTCAAGGTTTACATATATAGTTCTTTCACTTCTGAATTTTTTCCCCTGTCTGTCCTGCCTGTTATTTTTGGGCTACTTTACTAGCTCCTTCAACTTTTAGAAAAAATAAAGGTGACTGCACTGGATTGCAAGAAATACACTTTTTAGATTAGTGATATTTATTTTTGCTGTGTCTTGACAGCAGCATTTCAATTTCAGCTAGAGATTAAATCACAACCACATATTAAGAGTTATCATTGTTGTTCACATCCAGCTCCAATCTAAACCTGTGTAGTTTCCTGCCCCAGAGTTCATGGAATAAAGGAGACTTTTCTGGGGATTGTTTGTAATTCATCACTATCATTTTAATAAAAGATTAAAGAAATATCTAACACAGTGGGTTGGAATAGTGTAAGCACCCAAAATCATTAAAGTAGCAGAAGCAACTATCATATAAAACAAAATATATGCAGTGAGTTTTCTCCCTGAATAAGCCTCAACTACCCTGTACTACTGAAAAGAAAAATAAAAGCCTTAAAAATCCATTCAACAAACTGGTCATTATAGAAACCATTCAAATTTCTCAAACTCTGGTCACTTCTCTTCTCTATTGATCTGCATCTCAAAAAATTAAATAGAAGTTCTCCTCTTGCAGAAAGTGAACTGCACAGAAAATGACTGAGTTAGGTTCATGGGACAGTCTCTTCAAAATGTGCATAAGTATCAATTAACAAAGTTCTATAATTACTTTGTTTCCTTACAGTTAGAGTCTTCCAGTCAATAGGTTCAGCCATTATGTTAGTCATTTTTTCATGACTAACCATGCTGAAGCTAAGTTATGGGAGCTTTCTTTGCCCAGAGATAGACTAGCCAGAAAAAAAATGCTGTAGTACTGTAGCTCTTTGACTGATAAAAGGCCTTTTGCTGCTATATTCCAACTTGGCCAATAAAAATGTGTGGGACATTGAACAGTAGCTTAACTTTTGTCCTATTGAAGCCAGTAGTAAAACTCCCATTGGCTTCAGTAGGAATAGAATTAGGCCTATACTGAGCCTAACTGTGATCTACCCTTAACTAACAGAGGAAATGCTGAAAGATCTAAGCTTACACTTAGCATCTTGCATGACTTGATTCAATTGTGCCACCTGTCTATTAGGAGCTACCTAGCAAAAGTCCAAAAATAGAGATTAAAAATAAGGAACGTCAAGTGTTGCCACCAAGTTACGAGAAAAAATACCTAGGCCCTAGGGTATAACTGGTAATAACACAGAAAGAGCTATAGTAAATTAGAATCAATAGTTCAGGTTTTCAATTTATAGAACTAGAAAACAGGAGGAGAGAGTGTTAATATTCTGGAACATGATGTCTAGTGAATTTATACACTACAAACATTGAAGCCAAAGTAGACTTAGATTGTTCTTCCTTTTAATAGAAAGATGAACCCTGATTGTTCCAATGATAGCTTCTCTTTATTCTTTAGGGCAGTGGTCACCAACCAGTAGATCGGGATCTACTGGTAGATCTTGGAGCCTCTGACAGGTGATCCTGACTGGTTTGGCCATTTGGATATCAAGTGCTGGCCCTTCAGCTGCTCCTCCCTCCCACTGCTGAACATCTCTACCCCTTTGCCTTGGAGCTATTCCCCCAGGAGCCTCCTGCTTGCTGTGCAGGGCAGGGAAGGGAGAGGAGGGCACCAACGTCATGGTCCCCCTTCTTCCACCCTGTATCCTCTCTCCACAAAGCGGGGGCGGGGGGTACAACAGGACTAGGGTTAGAGCAAGTTTGCTGGCTGCTTTTGGGAGTGGTGCAGGGCCAGGACAAGTGTGAACCTGCCTGCCTTAGCCCCACTGCACCATCATCCAGAAGCCACCTGAGGGAAGCAGAGCCAAACTGGAGTCCACATCCTAAACCACTATCCAAATCATGACCCACCTCCTGTACCTCAAGCCCCTGCCCTAGCCCTGGGTCCCCATGCATCCAAACACCCTCCCAGGGCCTGCACCTAGAACCCCCTCCTGAAACCCAAATACCTGCCCCAAGCTCAGCTCAGAGCACCTCATGCACTAAATCCTTAACCCAAGACCAGAACCTACATCCCAACCTTCTGCCCAAGCCTGGTGAAAGCGAGAGAAAGTGGGGGAAGGAGGGAGGACAGAGTGAGCAGGGGCGTGGCCTCAGAGAAGTGGGGCAAGGAGCACAAAGGAGGTGGGACAAGGATATTTGGGTTTGAAGTAGATCTTGGATTGCACTTAAATTGAAAAAGTGATCTTGTGCTTAAAAAGGTTGGAGACCACTGCTTTAGGGATAGCTGGGGACTTATATCAAGTTTAGATCATAGGAAGGGATTATTAAACCATTTTCACATTTTGTATATTTGTAGAAACATGCAAAGAACTACACCGTTAATTTTTTGGTTTATATTGGAAAGTTTTCATTTTTAAGAATATATAATCTAAATGTTTACATTAGTTATTACCTAGCATTACTTCCTAAGCCTTTTTCCCTCATGTGTATTTCTATCAGTAGGATATATGAAATTAATCAATAGCACTGAAATTCTGGATACATTTTCAAAAAGAAAAAAAGGCAGCTTCTTGTCATCAAGAATAAATGAAGGAAACAATCTGAGTATTTGCGGCTAACTATAAAATTCTCAGTTAATTTTCACCCTTTTAGCAATGGTGTCTTGGGAAAGATCTGCATTTGCAAATATCTCCAACTGGTGTATGTAATTAGGGCACTTTGAAAAGTGTGATATCGTAGAACAGCTGCTCTGAAAAGGAAATTAAGCAAACTGTATGTTTGGAAAGATACAGCTGCATCATCTAGTGGACATAAATTAGTTCTATTTGATACGTCTGTCCATGACCTGATCGTGTAGCCATTACTCACACATGTAAGGAATGAAAGATCCAGCATCAAAGGAGTTGATATTTCTACCATTAGTTTGCTTCAGGCCTACTATGTACCTTAGATATATGTGGAGCAATAAGGGATGTGGAAGTTATGTTGCTTTGACACATGCATGTTCAAACTATTAAACTATTTACTTTCCTTTTCCTTCTAATTAGTTCATTATAAATGCAGTATACAGACATAAAAGCATACTCTGATTTTTGCTTGTGTTTTGGAAATATAGAACTTTTTCAAACAGAGGTGCAGCTTGCCAATATTGAATGCAAAATTCACAACCTGTTACAATCTTATGACTGGGAGCTAAATCCCAGAACAGTCAAAGAACTGTTACAATTTCCAAAGAAATCAGTATTTTACATTGCAAAAATATCTCAACTCATGAAAATGGTAGGAAAACAGAGATTTTTTTCATGTCTGAAAAAACAGTATTTCATAGCATTTTTCTAGACCAACTGAAACCACCAATGAGCAAACAAGTTCAAAGCTTACTTCCTCGCAGCTCAAAAATTTCTCCAATCAGCATGAAGCATGGCTCAGCAAGAGCATCTCGTTTCCCATCCACATCGTCTCCATAGTCTGACAGGTCACTATCTTCTTCTGTCTCTTCCTAAAATAGCAGTGCAGGTACAATATTAAAGGCAGCTGTTAAGGGTCCTTAATTTGAGACCTCCTTTCCCTCCCAACTACCTACTTTATGAACCTAAACCCACCTCTCATTCGTAATGGTGCAATATACTAATAATTCTGTTTTTCCTATTATTTGGTTTGGTCTTGACAGCTAAAAAATGTATTCTAAATTTAGAGTCCTTTTTCAAGGAGCTGTATAAACAGTACAGATCTCAAACAGCTCCAGTGTATCATTCTGCAAACAGTAATAAAGAAGAATATTTCTAGCCTAACAGATTTGAAGAATGTGTGGAATGACCTAGAATGGAAGAAAAGTGAGAGCATTTCGTTTAGAAATTACAAAATAAGGAATAAAGTGAAAACTCTTCTTTAATGAGTGAACATGCAGCAAGCTTTTATGGGCATTAGTAAGGGTAAAAGAACAAACATGTTGTGACATTGGGCAATAGCTGAGCTGTAGCATATGATGAAACTTTGGGTGTCTGAGCAGAAGCACTGGTCTTGGATCCATTCACAATTGCCTTCCTCCAACTTTTTTGGAAACAAAAAAAGGAGTAACAAAAAATATTATGTGCTGCTTTCTCCAGATGGGTTGGAAATGGGTGGGATTACGGCCTATAATGGCAAGGAGAAAGGAGAGTCAGGGAACAACAGGGAGGCAAGATCAAATCAGTATCTTAGATGCCTATATACAAATGCAAGAAGTATGGGTAATAAGCAGGAAGAACTGGAATTGCTAACCAATAAATACAACTATGATATCATTGGTATTACAGAAACCTGGTGGGATGGGACGCATGATTGGAATGTTGGTATGGAAGGGTACGGCTTGCTCAGGAAGGACAGACAGGGAAAAAAGGGAGGAGGGGTTGCCTTGTATATTAAAAATGTACACACTTGGACTGAAGTGGAGATGAACGTAGGAGATAGCTGTGTAGAGAGTCTCTGGGTTAAGCTAAAAGGGGTAAAAAACGAGGGTGATATCATGCTAGGAGTCTACTACAGGCCACCTAGCCAGGTGGAAGAGGTGGATGAGGCCTTTTTTAAACAATTAACAAAACTATCCAAAGCCCAAGATTTGGTGGTGATGGGGGACTTCAACTATCCAGACATATGTTGGGAAACTAACACAGCGAGGCACAGGCTATCCAATAAGTTTCTGGACTGCATTGGAGACAACTTTCTGTTTCAGAAGGTTGAAAAAGCTACCAGAGGAGAAGCTGTTCTGGATTTGGTTTTAACAAATAGGGAGGAACTAGTTGAGAACTTGAAAGTGGAAGACAGTATAGGGGACAGTGATCACGAAATAATAGAGTTCATGATCTTAAGGAAAGGTAGAAGGGAGACCAGCACAATTGAGGTAATGGATTTCAGGAAGGCAGATTTTGATAAGCTCAGAGAACTTGTAGGTAAGGTCCCATGGGAAGCAAGACTGAAGGGAAAAACAACTGAGGAGAGTTGGAAGTATTTCAAAGGGACGTTGTTAAGGGCCCAAAAGCAAACAATTCCGCTGTGTAGGAAAGATAGAAAATATGGCAAAAGACCAGCTTGGCTTAACAAGGAGATCTTGCATGATCTCAAAATAAAAAAGGAGTCATATAAAAAATGGAAACTAGGACAACTAACAAAGGATGAATATAGGCAAGCAACACGGGAATGCAGGGGCAAGATTAGAAAGGCAAAGGCACAAAATGAGATCAAACTAGCTACAGGCATAAAGGGAAACAAGAAGACCTTTTATAAATACATTAAAAGCAAGAGGAAGACCAAGGACAGGGTAGGCCCACTGCTTAGCGAGGAGGGAGAAGCAGTAACAGGGAACTTGGAAATGGCGGAGATGCTCAATGACTTCTTTGTTTCGGTCTTCACCGAGAAGTCTGGAGGTGTGCCTAACGTAGTGAATACAAGCAGAGAGAGGGTAAGTTTAGAAGATAGGATACACAAAGAACAAGTTAAAAATCACTTAGGAAAGTTAGATGTCAGCAAGTCACCAGGTCCTGATGAAATGCATCCCAGGATACTCAAGGAGCTGATAGAGGAGGTATCTGAGCCTTTAGCTATGATCTTTGAAAAATCATGGCAGACAGGGGAGATTCCAGAAGACTGGAAAAGGGCAAATATTGTGCCCATCTATAAAAAGGGGAATAAGAACAACCCAGGAAACTACAGACCGGTCAGTTTAACGTCTGTCCCAGGGAAGATAATGGAGCAGGTAATTAAGGAAATCATATGCAAACACTTGGAAGGTAATAAAGTGATAGGGAATAGCCAGCATGGGTTTGTGAAGAACAAGTCATGCCAAACTAATCTGATAGCTTTCTTTGATAAGATAACGAGCCTTGTGGATAAGGGAGAAGCGGTGGATGTCATATACCTAGACTTTAGTAAGGCATTTGATACGGTCTCGCATGATATTCTTATTGATAAACTAGGCAAATATAACTTAGATAGGGCCACGATAAGGTGGGTGCATAATTGGCTGGATAACCGTAGTCAGAGAGTTGTTGTTAACGGTTCTAAATCCTGCTGGAAAGGGATAACAAGTGGAGTTCCTCAAGGGTCTGTTTTGGGACCCATACTGTTCAACATCTTCATCAATGATGTAGATATTGGGATAGAGAGTACGCTTATTAAGTTTGCAGATGATACCAAACTGGGTGGGGTTGCAACTTCTTTGGAGGATAGGGACATAATTCAAAATGACCTTAGCAAGTTAGAGAAATGGTCAGAGGTAAACAGGATGAGGTTTAATAAAGAGAAATGCAAAGTGCTCCACTTAGGAAGGAACAATCAGTTCCATACATACAAGATGGGAAGCGACTGTCTAGGAAGGAGCATGGCAGAAAGGGATCTAGGGGTCATAGTGGACCACAAGTTGAATATGAGTCAACAGTGTGATGCTGTTGCAAAAAAAGCAAATATGATTCTAGGTTGTATCAACAGGTGTGTTGTAAGCAAAACTCGTGAAGTCATTCTGCCGCTCTACTCTGCACTAGTTAGGCCTCAGCTGGAGTACTGTGTCCAGTTCTGGGCGCCACATTTCAAGAAAGATGTGGAGAAATTGGAAAGGGTACAGAGAAGAGCAACAAGAATGATTAAAGGTTTAGAGAACATGACCTATGAAGCCAGGCTTCATGAACTGGGCTTGTTTAGTTTGGAAAAAAGAAGATTAAGGGGGGACATGATAGCGGTTTTCAAATATCTAAAAGGGTGTCACAAGGAGGAAGGAGAAAATTTGTTCCTCTTGGTTTCTGAGGACAGGACAAGGAGTAATGTCCCTCCTCTCGCAACTTCTGTACCCTGTCTCCACACAGAGAAAAGGGGATGGACGGGGCGTGGCAATACAAATGTCTGTCACTCTCACACATTGTGTGTGCTCTGTCATTTTCACAAACACACAATGCCCTTCACTCTCATCTCCCGACCCAACACATACGTGGGAGGGTTGTTGTTACTTCTTTTATTGCTTGCAAAGTGGGTTAGTTTGGGGTTTTGACTGGTCTGTGCATTTTATAATTTTCATTTCTCTCTTACGTTTAAATTTAATTCTTTGAATAGTGAGTTCTAAAATGCCTAACCTGCTGTGGCTGGAGTAATTATCCCTGTGGTAATTGCTGCTCCTAGATGTGACTTGAATGTCCCTGCAGCCCATGAGAGGGGCAGAGCACGGGGTCTTCACAAGCTGTCTTGGCCTGCCAACACCATTCCTGCAGCTCTCATTAATCAATAACAGGGAACCGTGGCCAGTAGAAGTTGTGGGCTCAGTGCATGTGGATGAGGGGCAGCACATGGTGCCATGGAGCCATTGTTGTACAGACCAGCTTTCAGGAATGGTGCAGGGCCTGGGCAGGAGTAAGCCTGCCTTAACTCCACTGCTCCACAACCTGGAAGCCGCCTCAGTTAAACGCTGCCCAGCCAGAGCCTGCTTTCTGAATCCCTGTCCCAGCCCTGAACCTTCTCCTACACCCAACCTCCTGCCCCAGACTTGAGTCCCCCTGCACCCAAATTCCTTCCAGAGTTTGCACGCTAAATCCCAATTCCCCTGCCCTGGACTAAGCCCAGAGCCCCTCACATACTACGAACCCTTTGGCCCAAGACCAGAATGATGGAGTGAGCATGGTGAGGCCTCAGAGAAGGGGTAGAGCAAGGGAGCGGCCTGAGAGAAGGGGTGGAAAGGAAGTGGAGCCAAAGGTATTTGGATTTGAGGTAGATCTTACATTGCACTTAAATTGAAAAAGTGATCTTGTTGTTTAAAAAGTTGGGGTACGTCTACACTGCATCCCTAGTTCGAACTAGGGATGCAGTGTAGACGTACCCCAACTTTTTAAACAACAAGATCACTTTTTCAATTTAAGTGCAATGTAAGATCTACCTCAAATCCAAATACCTTTGGCTCCACTTCCTTTCCACCCCTTCTCTCAGGCCGCTCCCTTGCTCTACCCCTTCTCTGAGGCCTCACCATGCTCACTCCATCATTCTGGTCTTGGGCCAAAGGGTTCGTAGTATGTGAGGGGCTCTGGGCTTAGTCCAGGGCAGGGGAATTGGGATTTAGCGTGCAAACTCTGGAAGGAATTTGGGTGCAGGGGGACTCAAGTCTGGGGCAGGAGGTTGGGTGTAGGAGAAGGTTCAGGGCTGGGACAGGGATTCAGAAAGCAGGCTCTGGCTGGGCAGCGTTTAACTGAGGCGGCTTCCAGGTTGTGGAGCAGTGGAGTTAAGGCATTGTTAATGGAGCGCGGGATATTTAAATCCCCGCTTCGTTAACTACTTCGGTTGTCTCCATTTGCATCCCTAGTTCGAACTAGGGATGCAGTGTAGACGTACCTTTGGAGACTACTGGACTAAAGGGATTAGTCAGCTGAGTTCAGCAGTACAGGGGAGAGAGGGAGGAAGGACTGTATGTTAGGGCTTTCCCCCATTTCTTAACTTGTAGACCAGCGGTTCTCAAATGTTTTGGGCTCCGGAGCCCTTTACACGCATAAAAATTTATGCGGAGCCCCAGCGGATCTCTGATTGTATGTGTTGTACCTATCGATGTTTCCAGTTTGTCAACCTCGAGGAGCCCCTGGGGATGTCTCGTGGAGCCCTGGGGCTCCACGAAGCACAGTTTGAGAAACACTGTTGTAGACAATCTACAAGGAATACCCTGCAATAGGATGAAAAAAGCATGTTGTCAACACCATTGCTATCTCTTCCTAGACATGGATGTTACTGGATCCTCCATGTCCTGCTCCCTGAGTCAAATCCTTTGTCTCCCAACTCTCGTTTGGTCACGCAAAGACTGCAACAGGAAGATCACTGCTTCCAATTCAAAAACCCACACTGTATTTTCTATTGTCTCTCCTGGCTTCCTGCCAACTCACTTCCTACTTCCCTACCATTCTTGGTTATCCTCTAGGATCCACTGTGTCTATGGTTTTCACTCTTCCCAGCAACTTAGTTAACTGAATGGCTGAAATATCCAGGAAAGGGTAATACCCCTCCCATTCATCACACAATCATTGAAAGTTTTCAAAAAAAGGTCAGACACTCCTGAGGAATAGTTTATGTTTATTTGGTCCTGTCTCAGTACAGAAGGACTGATGTTTATGTTTATTTGGACCTGATGACTTACCAAGCAAGGCCCCTTCCAGCCCTACATTTATATAATTCTATCTTTGTGTATCTTTTGCTTTGTCTTTTCCTCCATTTTTTTCAATCTGTTCTCTTTTTCCACCCCCTCATTTCTCTTCCTCTCTCATTCCCTGTCATTGTGTTCTTGCCTTTCTTCTCCCATGTTTCTTGAATCTTTCTCCTTCCATCATGTGTGTGCATATATAAATGTACGTATTTTGAGAGGCAGTCGGCACATATGCACACACAATCGGGCATCTTTCTTGAGATCTATTTTCAATAAAAGAATAAAAAAAGTTATCTTTCACTCCCATCTAAGGGTATGTCTACACTAGCCCCCTAGTTTGAACTAGGGAGGCTAATGTAGGCATTCGAAGTTGCAAATGAAGCCGAGGTATAACAGTTAACTCGAACTAAGGACTTAGTTCGAGTTAATGTTTGACTGCCGCGTGTAGCCGCGGGCAGTTAGTTCGGACTAGGGGAATTTAAAAATGGCGCCCGGACGGGAAGATGCAAATAAAACCCAGGATATTTAAATCCCAGGCTTCACTTGCAACTTCAAATGCCTACATTAGCCTCCCTAGTTCAAACTAGGGGGCTAGTGTAGACATACCCTTAGATGGGAGTGAAAGATAACTTTTTTTATTCTTTTATTGAAAATAGATCTCAAGAAAGATGCCCGATTGTGTGTGCATATGTGCCGACTGCCTCTCAAAATACGTACATTTATATATGCACACACATGATGGAAGGAGAAAGATTCAAGAAACATGGGAGAAGAAAGGCAAGAACACAATGACAGGGAATGAGAGAGCTTTCCAGTGAAGGTATTTTTATTTTTCATATTAGCAGAATATACATTTATATTTTACAGAGATACAATTGCAAGACTAATTTGAAAAGAAAGAACAGCTGTTTCTGATCATATAAATCTACAAAATGAAATATTACTATCTATAGAAATAGCTGCAAGAGTATAATTTATAGACAGACAGATAGATAAGACATATGCAAAAGTAGCCAATACCACACTGAGCTGCAAAAAAGACCTCCTTGTGTAAGTAGAACAGGTAACGTAGTCTACAATAACCCACAAATGTCCCACAAGTGTATTTAAACGGTAGATGGGTCATCTTCACAGAGTGGCTTCAATATGCCGCAAAACTACCACTTTTATAACTGTAATCTCCTGAAGTGACATGCCACAAGAGAGGAACAGAAGAGAAAAAAAAGATGGAAATGGCTCCTTGCAGCTGCTGTACCTGAAATACTAACTGAATAGAATATAAAAATCAACCACAACCCTCACTGCAAAAAAACAATAAATGTGTTAATGAACTATTCTTTGCTGCATTTTGAACAAGACAGATTATTTTAAAGCTCGGTGCAAGATGCTACAGCTGAATCAACTACAGGGCCTCCCATGTAGCTCTCAAAGTTCTCTCCATGCTGCCTATAGTGTTTACAAAACCTAATTTTGCATCAAGAGTCTGCCAGCGGAAGACATACTGAAGGTTGGATAAGGAATTGGCAGTCAGCAGGATTTTCAAAGGATTACCCTCATCTAGGGCTAATCCAATTCCAGCTGACATTTCCTACTGAGAGCTGGTTCATGTCCTTAGAGACACTGAGGCCAAGTCTATTCCTGCATTATGATGGATAAAATCACTAGGTTGTGGAAGTAAGCAATAGGGTCTCCTGGGAAGAGCAAGTCACCTGAATAACTCTAGGGCACCTACTATGAACTCAGATACTATCTTCTTTTCTTGGAGATGAACACAGAAAGAGAGTTGCATATCCACTTTTCTTCTGACAGAAGAAGAGAGCTATGTGGGCCACTGAGAAAACAGTCCTACTTAAATAAGAACCCATTTGCCTTGAATAATACTTTTCACCTTTTGGGAAAGTAGTGGTTTGAAAGAGTATCAGGAAAAAAGGTACCGCTGGGCCCCTGTTACTGCTTGGCCACAGGGTCCAGAGCTCCCTACTGCACTGCCTGCCCCTCTGTGTCCTGCCCCCTGGCTCCCAGATGAGTCTCCGTGTCCCTCTGCAACTCCTACCCTGCAGCCCAACCTCCCTATACCTGGCTCTGTGATCCAAGAACATCCATGGTCCGGTAGGACCATGGATGTTGCCAAACCAGAGAGTCCTGGTTAAGGGAGGTACAACCTGTAGTCCCACACTTCGAGGAGGTACTGCACAGCCACACAGAAAAACTACAGTCCCCATACTGAACAGCATATAAGCAACTTTTATAAATTGAAAGCAGCAAAAATAAATTAAAAAAAGACAGTATAAAAAAAAATATGTAACTTTTGTCCTAGACAACTAAAGCACTCCCTGACACTAGGGATGTAAAACATTTAAAAAATCATTAGCTGTGTAGCCAATAGAAATTCTATTGTTTACGTGGTTTATCATGGCTCCTAGAGCCGGTACTCCTGGTCCCCTCAGGGCTCCCATCAGCCCTATAAAGAATTTAACTGGTGCCGGTAATCAATAAGCATGAGCTTATCGGTTAACTGGTTACACGGTTAAATTCTTACATCCCCTACCTGACACACACAAAAAGAACTACTTGAATGGCATGGAAGAGGGACATATGGTGGGGAGGATCAGAGCCAGTGAATTTGGATGCCTTATTTCTGGTTGTCAAATTTCAACACTACACAGAAGAAAACCATATCGATGAATGGTATATACAGAACATTACATGGAGGATGCAGAGAAGCAGAACAAAAAAAAAAGCTTTTTTAAGAAAGATATTCACCTAACCACCTCTGTCTGGGTTTCACAATCACAAGACAGCAGAAATATCCCTGAATCTTTCTAGAAGCACATCATGTTCAAGGCTGGAAAACTCAGGTTTGCTAGCAAACGATATCCCAGGCTGCTTATATTTCATTAACTTGGAATATGCAGTTTATACCATTGTCTCCATTCTATATTTTCCACAGAGAAAAAATATGTTCTATTGGCAAACTGCATTAAATGCAGTAGTGTTTTAATAACTCACTGTTGGTTTGCTTAAACCAGTGGTAGGGAACCTGTTTTGGTTTGGGGGTCACTGACCCACAGAAAAATCCACCGTGGGCCGCACACAAGCAAGAAACAAACGAACAAAAAGCCCTCACTGACTGAGAAGCAGAAAGACAGTTCCCATATTCCCCATACACCAGACCCTGGATTGGAGGGCACATTAGTAGATTTTGTGTGCTTCAGCCCTGTGGGAGGATGGTGGGGGAATGAGTGTGCCAGCTCGGGCCCCCCCAATGCTGGGGGAGCCTTGAGCCTCAGGGGCTGGATTTAGACAAATCGAGGGCCACATCTGGTCCCCGGGCCTGAGGTTCCCTGCCCTTGGTTTAAACTGAACAGCATCTCCAGTAATACCTCCAGTATTAACTCCCACTCAAATGCAGTATATTAACAGATTATATTGGACACAATTAAATCTAGGAAATTACTTTTCTACCACTCACTTCTTGATGAGAAAAGAAATCACCAGGTAGTCTTTCCAGAAATGATGAGAGTGAAAAAGCAGATTTCTTTCCTTGCACATCAATAACTTTGAGGTGCTCAGGGGAAGGGCTCAAAAAGGCATAAAGTGCTTCACTCTGACATAATCTTTCATCAGAAAGCAGCTTCTACGGAGAAAATGGGATAAAGAATATTCACATTTCAATTAAATATGAATTATTTAACAAGAAGGTGCAACATGCTCCTCAGTACATCTGATTAATACACTAATCAGGTGCAGAGTAAGAGAAGCATTAGTGAATAAGAATAGTGTCCACCACATCTTGAGAGAGACTTGAATTTCAGGAATGTTTTCCAGATTAGAAGCATTTTTTGTTAAAACTTTTTTAAAGGAAATATCCTTATGCCATGCAAATTAGTTCCTAGAAATTCATTTTAAAAGCTGATGTATTTAAAAAAAGAGTAAAACTAAAATTACTATAAAAATAACATGGTGGAGTTCCAAGCTAGAGTCTTACAGCCACTCTGAGATCAAACTGACTTACCACTAGAGAGATGGTTTTGCTAAATGCCAATGCCACAAGCTCAACTTGAGACCTGAAACTCAAGAGGAGTTCCTTTTGGCTTGTACAATGCCTCCTCCCTTCCACCTTTTCCTCTCCTCACACCAGTGAAAATCTAAACACAAGGACTGACTCAGCTCTCATTTATGCTGTTCATATTCTAATGGTTAAAATGGATTTACTCCTGATTTAGGCCAGTGTGAAAGGAATATTAGGCTTACAGGTAACAATGCTGGTAAAATACTGTATGATCTAGAACACAGACCAGCTCATTTTGGCTCTGCACTTATTTAGTAGTAAAAAGTGGTACATTTTAGACATTAAAATATGCAAATATGACATACTCACAGGAAATACACAGAGAGCACATTTCTTGAATAAGAAGGAACTGTTTTTATATAGTCACTTTTTGTGGAAAAACACACAGTTCCAGTAACATTCTGAGAAAAGCTTTCCCTTCTGTCGAGGCTTTGGGTATGCTTTTTCACAGATTATTGCTAATAATTCTTTCCTAACGAGGCACTGCTCTAATTGCCCACCCACCAAGTTCTCCCCTATAATCATGACCATATGTCATTTTTATTTTTCACTGGCAAATATAATTTGATTATCTCAAACAATACGTTCACTGCCTAATTTACTTCATCTGCAGGGAAATCGGTACAGAACTAGCTGCTTTGCCTTGTTTGTTGATATTAGAAGGGGGAATCTGAAGCAGAGAGAAGATGCAGATGAACAGGCTTGAATTCTGAGCACCAGAGAAACAGCATCAAGTGAAGCGGGTTCCTCAGACTCTGACAAAAAGGATGGTTTGCAGGAAAGGTCCTGGGGATGGAGAAAGGAGCACCTGACCATGCTGGGAGTGAAGGGAATGTAGAAAAGCAGGAAAGACAAAGGGACAAGACGACACAAAATGGGGAGAATAGAGTCCTAATGTCTGATGCTTAAAATCTCAAATGTGTATTTAAGGATAATACAGCACGCAAAGAAAAAGCAATGAGATATGCAATAATGTAACTGGGTTTCATATTTCAATACATTTCTGCTACTTCTTCATGATCTTTGGAAAACATAGCAATGGAATGGCAAACATTCAGGGTTTGATATCATAGCTTCAGTTTTTAAAATATTACATTAAATATTAATGGTGCTCAGCTCTTGTCAGCAGCATTCTATTTTGGAAAGAGGAGATACATACAAGTATCTCACTTCCTGGGGGAAATGTACCTTGCTGTTTCACAGCAACTTTTGGTTGTATTATAATATCTGGATAATAAACAAGAAAGCTATCTAGGAAGATTACTCTAAGATCAATTTACTTTTCATATCAATCAATATAGTTTAATTTTTCTTGACTGATCAATGGCCTATTAGTCACTGAACTTCAGAATCTACAAAAGCATCTCTTAATTGCTAAACAGTCTGCTTTAAACAAATAAACATGTTAAACAAGATGACCCAGAAAATTCTACTGCTGTATCTGTAAATTGCATAATGTCTCCTGTTTGGAGCTATTTAAGGACAAATGCAATTTCAACTTGTGGAACAAAATACAACCACCACTTCAAAGATTATCCTATCTAAAAAGTATCTTTCATTCATTTTAAAATAATAATGATGCCTAAACAAGGCTGTAGGCAACCCAATATAATCAATCATATAATACATACTACAGGTTGCACCTCTGTAAACTGGAACTCTTGGGTCTGGCAACATCTGTGGTCCGGAAGGACTTCAAATGTTCCAAGTTCAGAGAGTCCCTGCAACTGTGGTGAGTGGAGGGGCCGGGAGCCGGAACATGGCTCAGCTGGGCTGTGGGAGGGGGAGGCAGGATCCGGCGTGTGGCTCAGCTGGGCTGTGGGAGGAGGGGAGCTGGGGCATGGCTCAGCAGGGCAGCGGGGGTTGGAGGAGCAAGCAGGGACGCATCTCGGCTGCGCTGCCAGAGGTTCTGAAGGCAGTGGCTCAGCTGACCTGCAGGGGGAGAGCCAGGAAGCCCGGTCGGATAGGCAGGGCAGGGGGCGGAACCAGCAGCAAGGGGACCTGAAACAACTTCCTGGGGATGCCCCTGAGGGTCCTGAGGTGCTGGACCAGGGAAGTCCAACCTGCTTCAAATTTAACCTTAGCAACACTGAAATCAATTCTACAGGATTTTGGCCAACCAACCACCTGTTTCCTTTATCACTGAGGAAGCACACCTGCAGCCTCTTTTTGAGACCTTATTCAAAAGGTGTCTTTTGCACATGGAAGATTCAGGCTCCTTTGGACCACACGAGAAAGCAACTTTCAGAGTCCTGGATCCCTGACAGTGAATGAATGGCTGTTGGAACCCCGCCTTTTATAACAAAGAGGATTGCCTCCAACACCCTGATGACCATAGGCGTGGTAGGAGACTACAGTGAGAGATGGACCCTTAGCCAGTTCCACACCATTTAGGGCGTTACAGTCTACAGATCATGACCAATGTCCTAGACTCCACCTGGCGAGCAACTGACAGCCAGGCAAATCTTAAAGCGCTGGGCTCACATGCTCCCAATGAGATATCCCACTCTCTAAGCAAGCACATACATTCTGCATCAGCTATTAGGTGTGTTCCATGTAGAGCACATTACAAAAATCTAATCCTGAGGTGACAAAGGCATGGATAACAGTGGCACGGTTCACATCAGGAAAAAAAAAGATCACAACCTCCCAGCCAGACACAGATGGTAAAAAGGTGACTGGGTCACTGCTGTAATATAATCTTCAAACAGCATCTTGGGGTCTAATATTGCTCCTTAAATGTGAACACTATTGATCAATGTCAGACTCTCTCAATCAAAGAGGCTGCTATTACCTCTAGATGTTTTCCCCAACCCAGCATCAGCTTAGACTAAGGAGCCATGCCCAAGTTCCAAGTACACACTGGCTGATGTGCTGGACTGCATCAGAAGAGAGATATATACAGCTGGATGTTAATCGGTACAGGGAAAACACTGAAATCCATGCACTCTTACTGGTTATCCTAAGTCATATACACAAAGGAGGAGTGACAGAACAGCATCTTGTGGCACTGCATGCTAGAGAGCTCTTCAGGAAGGGGGTGATTGCCTTCAACTACCCACCGAGATGTCCCCAAGAGAAAAGAACATGACCATCTGAAGTACAGACTTTCAGAAAGTCACAAAAGGATGTGCGATGTGATCATTCTCCCTGGTCATAGGAGAAGCAGGGACTGCAGCATGACCTTCTAAACCGTGCTTGTAGAACAGTACTAAGGACACAGAGATAGGATTTTTTTCCCTAATAATTGGGAGAAAACGCGTTGTACACTTATGCAACCAAGCTATCTTGGAGTCCAGATGCTAGCAGCTCAGAACAGGAGCAGCCCGTTAGCTTTTAGACTCTATAATTAATAGAACGTTAAAGGGAGTACAGCCTTTGTTTTCTTACCTGTAAGAAATTATTTAACTGGTTCTTGGACTTTTCCATGAATTTCTGATCTACAGATTTGAAGGGCAGCTTACTGAGGGAAGGCAACTGAACTTTCTTTAATGATGGAAAACACTGAGCAGAGAAAGGATGAAACAGATTATTCCATAACATTTTTAATATACACATACAGCAAAAAGACAGAAAGGTATATGTGTCAAAATGGAGATTCAAGGAGATCCCTTAATTTTTCTTTCCCTTCCACACCCCTCTGAGTGTCCTGAAGAACCCTTTCCCCTGCCCATCCATAGGTAACATAGGTGAGGAACTCCTCCTTTTGTGCCCCATCACTACCAATCCTATGTTGGCCAAAAGAGTTGCTTCCAGAATAATAGAAATACTTTCTTTTCCAAAGGTCTGTCCCACTAGTGCTTCCCACTTGTCCTGGGAGCCAGAGACCAAGCCTGGTACTCAAAATGGGCTGATATGGCAATCCAGCACATAAGCCACTAGGACAGTGGATCAGCTCAGCAAACAAAATTCATTATTAAACAGGAAAAGGCCAAGTACAAAATTTTTGCAATCTGTCAACCAGAGCAAAACTTGGTTGCTAGAAAGAAAATTGAATCCAAAAAAAGGCAAGAGGCTGTAAACAGCAGCTGGTCTGAAAATACAGTTATGAGAAATAACCAGATTCTAGAGTATTAAATGTTTTAGGTCAGTGGTTTTCAACCTTTTTTCATTTGAGGACTGCTAAAAAAAAATCAAACAGAGGTGCAGACCAAGACCCCTACAATAGAAATCTTAGACTGAAAACTGACTGACCAGAATTCAACCAACATATCATCATAGAATGCTAGAACTGGAAGGAACCTCGAAAGGTCATGAATTCCAGTCACCTACACTAATGGCAGGACCAAGCACTATCTAAACCATAACATACTCAGCATGGCACTTTAAACAGCATGAGAAATGGTACAAAACTGTGAGCTTCTGTGGTAATGACACTTCAGGCTTTTGACCTGTAGTTGTACATATCACATACTTTTTATTGATCAGAGAAACAGTGTGATGGGGTGCAATCACAGAAGACCTCTTGGGGATGCTTTAATGCCTTTTCTGGGATCTGAAACTTTATTTTCAGAGTAAGCTTTTGCTGACCACTTCGATATAGTTTGCAGACCACCTAAAGCAGTGTTTCTCAAACTGTGGGTCGCAACCATCACTACCAGGGGGGCTGCGAGCAACTTAGAGGGGGGTTGCAGCTGGATTCAGTTTTTCACTTGTGACCCCTCTCTTCCGGGCCACAAAGAGGGGCAGGGCGGCAGAAGGTAGCTGCCAGCAAGCCATGCAGAGTGGCCGGGGCTGTGGGACTCCAGGAGCGTGGCTCAACTGCAGCAGGAAGCAAGGCAGCAGGAGAGTGAGGCCGGCACAGGAGCAGACGTGCGAGGGGTCAACTGGGGCATGGTTGCTGGGCGACCGAACGCTTCCCCAGCTGGGAGAGGTAGGGGTCCCTCAGGCAGCGGGCTGGGGGATTGGGTCGGGGCAGAGGACCCGGAGGTAAATAAGGGCACGTGGGGGGTCAGAGGAGGAGGCAGAGAAGAGGAGAGGAGAGGAGGAACCAAAGGGACACAGAGCGGAAAAGAGGCACAGTGGAGAAAGAGACAGGGGGAAGGAGACTGCAGGGGGGAAGGGCATTGAGGACCGCAAATGCCTTGAAGGAACCCCAGGAGGGCAAGGAGTCTGGTGAGAAGGGGGGAGGAAGCGACCCAGGGCAGTGAGGGTGGGATCAGGGGGTCTCACAAATTCATTTAGCATTCTACAGAGTTGTGGTATCACAAAGTCTGAGAATCCCTGCCCTAAAGGATCCAAGAACCACAGGTTGAAAATCACTCTTTTAGACAAATGGAAAATGCAATTTAATGTAACTAGCTATAAAAAAGAAGGGCTGGATAGACAGAAAGTTTTCCATATTCTTGACCAGGAAACAATATAGGAATAGGATGTGTTGTCATAGGGAAGGAGTAGCAGACATCTAGTTAGAAGAAGCAGGACAATAGATAAAAAAGACAACGTAAGAAAGGGAGAAGAGGCAGAGACAGAAAACCCATTTTGCCAGGAACAATGTTCATTAGTCATACAGCATGAATCACAAAGGCCAGCAGAGGCACTGGGAAGCAGCAGGTGAATCACAGGTGTCCAATTAAATTGGCAAGGCGATAAAAAGTTGGAAAGAAGACTGTAATTAAAGCTAAAAAAAGTGACAAAGGTGAAAGTGGGGGGATTCAAATTTTCCATCAAATTAAGCCTTTTCCTGTGTCCTTTCCACCTTTCATTTCAGATGAAATATACTGTAGCAGAGTGGTTTTCTCCACAAGTTTGCTACTGGAGTCCATTATGGGAACCTTAGAAAGACTCCAGGTCCCTCCCCAATAAGATATCTTCTCCACTTCAATTCCCTTGCCCCAAATGACAGTCTGTATGCCCTCTAGCCCGCTCTCTTTATTTCTGAAAACTATCAGTCTCTTAGGGTACGTCTACACAGCAGAGATATTTTGGGATACCGGAAGTATCCTGAAATAGCTATTCTGTGGCTACTGAAGCAGCCCGTTATTTCGAAATAGATTTCAAAATAATGGGCAGCTTATTCCAGCGTCCTGGTAACTCTTGTTCTATGAGGGTTAAGGGGAATTTCAGAATAGTGCATTGTTTCAAAATGTGGTGCTGTGTAGCCAGTGCCAAATTACGAAATAAGCTATTTCGAAATACAATCGAAATAAGCTACGCAATTCGTGTAGTGCAAACTGCGTAGCTTATTTCGAGCTAAGGTTGCTGTTTAACACATCTTTACTGTCCCTTTTAAGCAGTTACCTTCACCAACTCTTTGTCCTGTGGCTTAAACAAACTAGCCACCAAGAAATACTTGTGAATCAAAAAGCTAATAATCTCACCTTTGGAGCCTAACACCAGAGATTTGTAAACCCATTTCCACCAAACTTTGATGCATAGTTTTTGCTTAGAATACTGAGGGCTTGTTTTACTTTGCAAAAGAGGGTTTCATATTTAAGTTAATTTTTATAGTTTTCAGAGATTAGAGGTGGCAATGGTAAGTTTCTTTTAAGTCTCTTTTCCCCCTGAATACGGGTCTGATATTTTAAAAGATAAAAAATTCCACTCCCACAAAAAATTATTCCTACCTCACTCAGTTTTCGGTGTAGATTCTGAAACTCACTGAGCTTTCTGGGAACACTCCAGCTCTTAGCTTCAGCTCCACCAACTTCTTGTAAATTCACCATAACAAAATAACAGGGCACTTGTTCTCCATTTTCTTCTACAACCTGGAGGGCAGAGGGAGAGTAAATGTATATTACTGAGACTGTAAAGAAATAGCAAAACATTAAAAATAATCAAATTGCAGACTAAATATTATCATCGCAGTTTTGCTCTCTCTGCTGTGTCATAACGACCTTTTCATAAATTTTGGTTTACCAGACTACATCTGATTCAGGATACTGAGTGTCCTGCAATAACTCCCTGTACTCCTGTTAATACCCTCTTCTTCACTGACTGCCTTGCAGTGCAGCCTACGTCATCAGAATCCATTTTAAATGTCTTTCGGGGACGGCTGTATCTTACTGTCATTTGGCTTGTACGATTTTCAAAGTTTCATGTTAGATTGGTCTCCTTTCTCTTTGTGGTGACAGAGCCATGGAGCCGCCCAAGTTTTACAGGATTTCATTTATGCTCTACTTACTTTCCTAAGTACTTTACTTTTGCCCCATGAGTCCCTGCTGACCAGAAGTGAAAGTAAACTGGTGCGTCCCAGTGCATGTTTCTAGTCAGAAGGAACAAATTGCTACAGGAAGAACAGCTGCACTCCTGGCCACACTCCCAGGGTTCTCCTGAAGACTGCTTCTGTAAGCAGCACCAGTCCAGGGCTGCCCCAGGCCTGTGCTCCCCCATGGTGCCATTTAAGGAGCTCATGCAGGGCTGGAGCCCCCCTACCCCCAGGATTTGTATGAGGATGCTGCTTGTTGTTCCCCTTCTCGTCAGGGAGTAAGAGGAAAGCTCACAGCGCGTTCTCATTCCTCTCCCTTCTAACTGGTGCAGGGAGGGCGCAGAGAAGAGGGTGACCCACGCGATGAACTTTCCTCTCGCTCCATGATGGGAAGGGGACAGTAAGAAGCCTCCTGGTATGAGTCTTGGGGGGAGGCTGCAGTACCCCCCCACCCTCCTTAAATATTGCCCTTGCCCCCCCTGCAATCCTCCTACATACAATCCCTAACCCCTGCCCTGAGCCCCTCCTCATATCCCCAGCCTACAACCCTGACTCCTGCACCCCCCCACATCTCCAACCCCCTGCCCATAGCCTTTCCTCACACTCCCCAACCCTGACTTGTTCACTCCCACGCACTCCAACCCCCTACCCTGTGCCCCTACTCATGCCCCCAACCATGACACCTGCATTCCCCACACACACCCAGCCCTGAATCCCTACGCTTCCAAGCCCCTGCCGTGACATCTGCACCCCCAAGACTCACACTCCCTGCCCTGAGCCCTCCCACATCCACCACAGCCCCATGCCCTGAGCCCTCCACATTTAACTCTTACAGGTTGTCATGATCAGAAGAAGTGCTTATCAGTACCCAGTGACTAAGGGGTTAACTCAGGTACCTAGCAAAGATGTTGGCTAGGAGCAGTTTGGGCAATCAGCAGATAAGAATTTCAAACTGGGACAGAGGGGTTTTTCTCTCTCTCTTCTTTGTTTGAGTTCAGAGCAGTTTATCCTAGGTATTGAGGGAGTTAGGAGATGCACATTTGAAGAAGTCCATTCTTGGAGAGACAAAGTAAGTAGGGAAAAGTTAAGATAGTCCATCAGGGACGGGGTTTATTTTTTTCCTTGTTCTACAACTGAATTTCCAATAAGAGAGAAAGAGAGTGCCCAAAACATGAAATGCTAACTGATCAAAAGAGGCTTTTTACAGAGGAAAGGTCTGATCCTTATGTCGTGTAAATCAGTGAGGCTCCACTCCATGCTGGAGCTATGCCAATTGACAACAGCTGAGAATGTGTCAGTGTGTTATATGAAGTGTAAATACAAGTCTTGCTCATATAATGTAATTACATTAAATCCTCTTCTACAAAATACCCAAAATATTTAGATTTCAAAGACAATTTTATCAGGACAGCTTGTTTTGAAACAACACCTGCAGACTAACGTTTGCAATAATTAAAAATTTTATTTCACACAGCTTTATGCTTCAGAAACCTTAAAAATTGATATATACAAGTCAAGACCTACAACAAATACAGCTTAGATTTTGCATTTTTTGTATTGACATAGAAATACATTTAGAATTTTGTATATTGCTTATTTAAGTTTCAGTTTAAAAATTGTATAGGCTCAGGCTACTTCCTTTTCCAGTGATTCTCTGTATACAATAATACAGTATACAATAATTCTCTGTATACAATAATACAATAATTGCCTCTCTGCAATAAGGACAGTACACTTTGACTTCAAGCTACATTAGAATCAGTTATAAAATAATTCTGTTTCTAACATGCTTCTTGCAATTGCACCAAGAGCTGAGATAAGCAACAATCAACTTTAAAGAGAAAGAATCAATGCTGTTGATTTAGATCCTCTGAACTTATCTATTCTCTACAACGAGAAAACTTTAAAATTATTCGCTAAATCTTTGCTCGAAAGAACTGCAACTTCAAGACTTTCCCAAGCTTTTCCATTCCATCAGTGTCATATAAATAAAACACAATTCAAGTTTCAACATGCATCTCATTGTGTAATGTAGTCTATTGCTCCTTACAAATTATTCATTTAGATAATGGACTCAGCCTGCTTTATACTGGGATTCCCTTTATCATACATGGACCACTCCCAGAATCCTCACCTCCTATTTAACTGGGATCAAGCTAGGACACAAAGGATGGTTGTGACTCCTTGACACTGCTTGCAACCCCCAATCCTTTAGAAAATTACCTCTTTGGGTGCTACTGGCCACTGATTTGCCAGGTACATGTTTGGCTGAACATGATAATGTTATCATGTTATTAAGGATCTCAAAGTTAAACAAATTTTTAAGAGACCAAACAAGGTTGGCAAGACAACACTAATTACTCTGGTATATTATGAATTCACTTCAATGAACTAGGTCATTTCACCCACAGCAACATAAAACTAAGAAAATAAAACACCGTAACTGCTCAGTTTAACAAAATGATATATCATGTTTAACATATTCAATCTAATACAGGCAGTCCCCGACTTACGAACGGGGCTTTCTCGCCCCGGAGGTCGAGGTGGCGGATTGCTACCTGTGAGCTCCGGGGCGAGAAAGCCCCGTTCGTAAGTCGGGGACTGCCTGTATTAGATTGAATATGTTAAACATGATATATCATTTTGTTAAACTGAGCAGTTACGGTGTTTTATTTTCTTAGTTTTATGTTGCTGTGGGTGAAATGACCTAGTTCATTGAAGTGAATTCATAATATACCAGAGTAATTAGTGTTGTCTTGCCAACCTTGTTTGGTCTCTTAAAAATTTGTTTAACTTTGAGATCCTTAATAACATGATAACATTATCATGTTCAGCCAAACATGTACCTGGCAAATCAGTGGCCAGTAGCACCCAAAGAGGTAATTTTCTAAAGGATTGGGGGTTGCAAGCAGTGTCAAGGAGTCACAACCATCCTTTGTGTCCTAGCTTGATCCCAGTTAAATAGGAGGTGAGGATTCTGGGAGTGGTCCATGTATGATAAAGGGAATCCCAGTATAAAGCAGGCTGAGTCCATTATCTAAATGAATAATTTGTAAGGAGCAATAGACTACATTACACAATGAGATGCATGTTGAAACTTGAATTGTGTTTTATTTATATGACACTGATGGAATGGAAAAGCTTGGGAAAGTCTTGAAGTTGCAGTTCTTTCGAGCAAAGATTTAGCGAATAATTTTAAAGTTTTCTCGTTGTAGAGAATAGATAAGTTCAGAGGATCTAAATCAACAGCATTGATTCTTTCTCTTTAAAGTTGATTGTTGCTTATCTCAGCTCTTGGTGCAATTGCAAGAAGCATGTTAGAAACAGAATTATTTTATAACTGATTCTAATGTATGAATAACAGCCCATGGTTTTGTTGTAGGCAGAACTATCATTAATTTACAGAAACCAAAGACGTAAGCAATAAACTCAGCAGCAATTCATTCCCAAGTCTATTGTGTTTTCACATCATGGAAATTATTTGCTCTTCTTTATTTAGAAATATATTTTTAAGGACATATTTTATTATTCGCATGGAAAGAATATCCTGTAGAGAGGATGTCTCAATCAATTAGCATCATAAGATTACAATGTGTTCAGTATTGATGCACAACAGTGCTCTTTAGACACCATAACACTTCATCCTATGCCCGAATGCAATGATATATTTACAGATGTTCCTATAGCTTCTGAATAATAGAGCTGAAGGATGAAAGGCACTTGTGAATAAGGCTTGATCAGGTTGTCTTAAATAACACTGAAAATTAATGTAAACATTTCTTTTTCTCTTTACACTGAGAATTTTAAATGAACTAAAGGATAAGAATTCAGAAAAAAACATACCTCTCCTGAATTTATGAAGGCTTTCCACATGCCAAGATTTTCACACCACCAGTCTGTTCTTGCAATGTGCAATCGAAGGTCATTGTGTTCTCTCTCCATTAGAGTAATTTCATCTTTCAATTTGGAAACAATCTGGCAAGAAAAATATAGGAATCACAAGAGGTAGAGAAAACATAGCCACTGGTTTCTTTGGTAATAATATTCAAGAGTAGGAAAGGATTCAGGGGAGGGAAGAGTAAAAGGAATAATCCTGTAGGACAAGTCATTATCAAAAATACCAAAACTGTACAATACACAGATGCGGTAACTTGGTGATCATGGTATTAAGCAAACAAATTTCACTTTCATTTTAAGTTTGCAGGTCACATTTAGACTTTCATCTTTCTACTCCTATATGGAAACAAACACCTATGAAGGGCACAGTACAAACACCAGACTCCTGACTGAGTGGGCTGGAGAGCTCTGCTGGATGGCAACTAAAACTTCATATTAATTCAAAGACATAGTACCTGTTGTCAGGCATTAGGACATAAGACAAAGCCCACTGGAATCAATGGAAAAATGCCCAGTGACTTAAATGTCTTCATGGCATGCCATTATTTGATTTTACTGTACTTATGAATCCTGACACATCTGTGCTTTGATAATTCTCTTTACCTTGCTAAATATATAGTCCTGGTTCAAAAGCCAGATACTGTCTCAGATAGTTCAAAATACACCAGTAGGTTTGTCCTGGTTTTGTAAAAACCTAACAAAAACAATATTTTGTCACTTCTGCTCCTCACCTCCTCTATAACCTCTGGGGTCCTCTCCTCATCTCGTTTCCTCCCTTCCTACCACTTTAATTTTTAAGTCAGCCATAGCAGTTGCCTCTACCTGCCATACAGTCTCCTTTCATTCTGCCATGCTTTTCAGATAATATCCTAGACTCCCTTGCTTGTAACTCAGCAACTTCAAAGAGCAGTTGGATGCTCTGTCTGACAAGTGACAAGCTAGTTACTGATACACTAGAGATTGCACAGGGGTAACTTAGGGGACTGATTTTAGAGATAAGATAGAATGCAGGACAGGAAGTTTAGGGTGCATTCTAGGGCAAGGGAAGCTGGGAATCTGCAAAAGGAGTCTGGAAGTTTGAGGAACAAAATAGTTACATATTCCCATGTATCACATTTCTTCACTCCCAAAAAAAACACAAACCAGTCACACTACCACTCAAAATCACCCTCCCCCACCATCATCAGCCTTTTATTTTCACCCCCCTCATCACATGCTCTCCCCAAATGGAAGGGGTGACACATTCACCCCGGGCCTCTTTGGCCTCTCATGTGGTGATATAAAGGCTAGAGTGGCTATGACCCTCCCACGACGCCATCACAATTCAAAGCTCATGGTAGCTGAGGACTCAGAAAAGCAGGGTGGGTCTTGTCACAAAGACCCAGTTACTATAGAGTAGGTAATCGTACTTCATTCTTTGAGCATGTGTCAGTGTGGACCTCACATTCCTGCCGAACCTGGTGCCTCTTGAAAGGTGCTGGCTGTGTAACAAAAGAAGAGGATGACAACTGCCTCCTGGAGTAACCTGTTTTGTGAAGGATACATGGGATGTGTAGTCTGGGAAGAGGAGAAAGCTCTCACGCTCTTGGGGCTGATGATTAGAGTGGCTTATCATAGGAGGTTGGAATGATGCCTGGTGATCACAGCATAGCCCTAGAATTAAGGGAGTGGAGTGCCGCATCTGCTTGGCTACTGAAGACGTCCATCCCTTAGAAGGGCAGGTCTTCTAAGATGGACTGCACCTCCTTAGGAATGCTGAATGTTTGAACCAAAGAGGCCCATCTCCTGGTGCCCACCAAGACCATCAACCTGGCAGCTATATCCACCAGTACTTGGTGACCATTTGGTCTTCCTTCATGATCTCTGTTACTCCTGAGTATTTTGTGGGCGTTTTGGTAGGAAGGGGACCGCTCTCTCCCAGATGAGAAAACTATATTTCAAGAAAAAGGCCCAACAGTTCAGCCTTGTGGCTGAAGAGTTCCAGTTTCTGAGTGTCGTCTTTCAAAGGTATACTTTGCAGACTTTGGGTTTTTTGTTTCTCTCTCTCTAATACCATCAGAGATCCTAGATTAGGATGGACAGAGAAATGCCTACAAGCCCTTTTATGAGACCTGGTTCTGTCACAGCCCCTATCCTTTATGGAAACTGGCTTCTAAATATAAATATGCATAACTCAGAGACGATTTAGACAAAATAGCTTATGTAACGTAAAATTTTTTAAGTTATAATCTGCTGACTGTGCACATCCCTATTTTTGTGCATGCATTATTTTTGTAGGTGAAGTTAAAAATGTAAAATATGAATATGTTTATAATTCTAAATATGCTAATGAAGGCCATTACAGATGCTCTGGAAATTTAATGGGTCTGAGATCAAGTCAACAACCTGTCAAAAGTCTTGTTTGTCCTGTGAGCCCAAACTGTGCGTTGGTCCTAGAAAGACCCATGGCCAGACCACCTGAAACTGAAACCCAGTTTGCATTTTGTATTTTTCCACTTGAGATGAAAAAAGTTTGAACAGAGCATAAAAGTTCCTGCCTTGGGCAAAAGGGATATAAGAGGGGAACCAAACAAAATGGCAGTCACCATATGCCAGGAGACACCACTTCCCCTTACCACCTAAGATGCCTGCTGGAAACATCTAAGACTGAACAGGGGGAAGATAGGAGACTGTTTGGCTTGTGATAGAGATGTTTAGGACAATCATTTAAGGTAAGAATTAGCATGTTATAAAGTTCCGAGAGCCTACGTCTATGTCAGTGGCAAGGTCACTACTGGGCTGTTCCTTTTCCGCAGCTCTTCTTCTGCACTACAGTTGAACTCAACCGTCCAGCCCATGAACCACTGAAAGGTTTAGAACATTTGTCTCTGAGGGACTGGTGATTATATCCCTCCATTCTAGACAACCCAGCATGATGCTCAGAGCTATGCTTCTGCCTATGCTCCATGTTGGCCTGTCTTTTTGTGACAGTCTTTGCACTGAGTTTATGGGTGCTGGGGTTGAGGTGTCAAGGCTGCCAATACTAGAGCTGCTGGTACCAGGGCTGTCAGTGCCAGTGCCTTCTGACCTATTTTGGCTTTCTTCTACTGTTGGATCCCAACATGAGGTACCTGTTGGAGGGATGGCTGCTTCTGCCCCTGCTTGGCATTGCCATTTCCTCCAGTTCAAAACTCACAGAATCTATCTGGATTTACACATCTTGGAGCAAAAGGAATGGCGAATTGTGCATCTGTTTGGATCTTGGCTCTCACCCAGGCAGAGGCTACGAGTAGGACTAGTCCATCACAGCATGGGAAATGTTTAAATAATTCTGGTTTGGAATCTGCCATTAGGTGCAGAGATTGGTGCAAAGTGTCTTACCCCACAAAGTGTACAAGGCTGCTATCCTTGCTGAGTCCAATTAGGTCCAAGCTGATGAGAAGAAAGAAGCACTAAAGAGAGTGATGAGTCAGACACCACTGTATTGTGTCTTGCTGCCTGTCACAGATAGCAAGAGGGAACTGGGGGAAGATCCCGGCCATTCCCTTTAAGCTCACAAGGAAACATGAGGCAGCATAAGGCACATGAACAACCTTAAATGACACTGCTATTCAAAAGACTCTGATCCTGTGAGCATGAGGCACATTCACAATTAGAGTGGAATCCACATGGACATATAATCAAAGATGACAGCTGAAATATCCTGCATGCATTGCTTTCTGATGTTAAATGGACACCGACACACGCGGTTTAGCATTTTATTTTTGTGCAAGTTCTGCTGTTTTCAATATTCTCCCTAGACAACTAAAATTAAACATGTCTTTCCATAGATTGATATTTTCCATTTATAATAATAAATTTCTTCTTCATGTTTCTGATTGATCAGAAATTAACATCTCTTTTCTCCCTTGCTGACATCACTGAGGATAAGTACCAGCTGGAGAATTAGCATGTGAGTTTATTGGGGCTACAAACATAGGATGAGTTCACACATTGTTTCTGTATAGATACCACAAAGAGATTGTCAGGTTATTCCAAAAGAATGAAGGAGATGTTTGACATGGATTTAATCAGGCTGTAACTTTATTATTAGATGTCTGGGACTACCTGACAGATAATAGTGTACAGTACAGGCAACCTCATGTTTATTCTGTAATTACCTGCGTGGCTTTCACCAGCTCCCTCTCCTTTTCCATCAAGGACCCTGTAGTAAATACATTACTGGGACCTTACCATCTATCCCCACATCTCATAGTAGGGTTCAAGTTTATTATAAGAATGGGGGGAGGTGCATCCTGTCGTACCAATCATAGGAGTCCTCGACTGACCCCCATTCTCTCCTTTACCAAACACTTCTTTGTTAGTCCTTTCCCAAGCCATTTATGCAGTCACTGTACACCTTTCCTATGGAGCACCTGCACTAGATCTCCGCCCTACACTTAAATAAAGAGTTGACACATACAGGTATGTTACATTTCAATTGATCAGCTAATCGAATAGTCAATGGGATTTCCATCAACTACTCAATTAGTTGATAAGGGGGGCACTTGCTACCGTGCTGTGCCTCTCCTTTGAAATGTACGAGAACTGCTAATGGCTCTTGTATATTTCAAAGGACAAGGCGCAGCAGTTGGGATCCTACAGGAGCAGGAACTGCTATTAAGCTGGCTTCCCCCTGCACCAGCTCCAGCTCCCCACCATTGGTGCCCCAATACAGAGGCAGCAAGGGGGTGGGGAGGAAGTGACTAGTCCAGTAGTGACTCGACTACCTGATAAGCCTAGGTTTATTAGGTAATCCACCAGTCGACTAGTCATTTACATCCCTAGTGACATATAGATTACAGATCTTTATGCCACACATGAGAAGAGCTTTCCTAAGCCTTCTGTGGGAAAGGGGAAAAAACAACTGCACCCCAAACAATATGATGGTAAGGAAAAAAATCCTTTCCAGACACCCTAAAAAAAGGCACAGCTAGGGTAAGGTCCACAAACCTGGTATTTCCCTACCTAAAATGCAGGGGGGGTGGGTCCTGTCTCAGCCTGCTCCTTGTAAAAAGGAGACATTTCAGGCACAAGAGTTGCCACCTTTAAACCACGCACTCCCAGGAGATCGATCCCACAAAGAGAGCAGTAATCTCCAAAGAAAGAAAATGAACAACTGAGTGGGAGATTTAGATTTTAAAAAGGTCATTGACAATCTAAAAGGTCATTTAATATCTAAAAAGGTCATTAAAAATCTACTATACTACACAAACATTTTAAAAGTCAAATATATCAAGAAATTAACAGGTAAGCAATTTATCTATTATCTTTTAAAATGTTCTCCCTTTCTGACCCTTAGAGAGATTCAACATTGTAATAGTTGAAAGAAATAAGGGATCCATCTTTCAAATTAAGAATGGCTGAATTTCATCCAATTTAACAGAGTTCAAGAAAGAACTTACTGAAATATTTTGTTACTATTTCAGCTAATATTTTCCTTGTGCTGTTCATTAAATACAATAGTGGCCTGATTTTCAGAGCAGCTGAGAAACTGAAGCTCCCATTGATTTCAGCATGAATTGTATATACTCAGCATCTCTGAAGCAAAAATCAGAGCACTTGACCTTCAGCATAGTATCATCTTCTGTTATATCATTTCTACTTTGTGGTCACAGTTAATGGAACAAAGCTAAAAAGAAAGCAAATCCTCACCAAAATAAGTAATGTATAAAAACTAATACAGTAAAACTCCAATAGTCCAGCATCCAATTGTCCGGCACTCCCGATAGTCCAGCATCAAAATGGCAAGATCTCCTGACGGAACCGGGACAGAACCCAGAACTGCTCAGGTCAGCTGCTCTCATGTGGGTTACAGCAGGGAGGGGAGGTGTTTGGCTCTGGGGAAGGGAAGGAAAAGAGGAGGGGGATTGGGCAGCACACGGTGTCCTGCCCAGCTCATTGAGAAGCCAGCCGCTCAGCGCACGTGCCCCAGCGCCTGGAGGGAGATGCGCGGCTGTACTGGCGGCTCTGGGACCTGAGCATAAGAGAGGGAGGGGGATTGGGTTGGGAGTATTTAGTACCTCCTGATACTCCGGCATATCCGATAATCCGGCACTACCTAGGTCCCAAAGGTGTTGGATTATCAGAAGTCTACTGTACTCAGAATTTGAAAATATTACCCATAACATTTCCAGGTAGAAAGGCATTTGGATTTGAAAAATCTATATCTGAGTCTTCCTCAGTATGAAAAAGATCTCTTAAGAAGGAGAACTTGCACAAGATTGTGGGAGTTTTGCAAGAACTGGGGTGGGGTGGGTGCATAAGACATCCACTGTTTGAGGCAAAAATCTCACAAGAACTCAAGGTCTTAACTCTGTCATAGTTGTACTATAGCACTAAATCATCTTTAAACCTGAACTTCAGCCAGACTCTAATCCTGATTAACCACCTTAATCCATTTATAAAAAAAATAATAATATTAGGAGAAATGGTGTAAAATATTCTAAAAGCAAAAAAAAAAAAAAAAAAAAAATTATGATTTTGATCCCAGTACTGTAGTGTTAAAATTTCCACCTATCTTAGATTATTACAGTTTGGTAAAATAATGCCCTTAGGATTCTAACTAGCTTCTTGTAAAGAAATTTAGCTAAACTTTTGGATTTTTTTTAGATTTTTTTAAATTAAGAAAACCTATCACCACTGCAGGAGCTACAAAGCATTGTGCTCTGTAACTGCAGGGCCAGCAGAGGGAGTGCAAGTTTACTGACAGATCTGATCCCCAGAGCTGCAATGCTATTGGAGCAGCAATACACAGAAAAAATCTTGTTAACTTAGGTTGCTATAACTGGTACTTGCTGGAAGCAAATATAACTATAGGGAAAAACAGTATATGCTAAACAGAACAGGGTAAAACTATTGAGAAAACATTTTCTGGTTTCTAAGAGGGTACTATGAAGAATGAGGAACAAAGTCATTTCAATTAATTTTTAAATATTTATGATAGTGGCTCTGACACGCTTTTAGAATGTAAATTCTTTAGAGCAGGGACCTTGTTTTCATACTGGTCAGAAAAGTAACTAACACGCTATTGATATCACAGACAAATAAGTAAATTAAGGTCAGATTGAGAATACTGAAAGCATTACCTTTTTGTCAGGTTTTGGTGAATTACATAAGGAATTAAGAGCCTGTCTCTTATATTCAAGTTTGTCATTTAGTTGGCGAAGTTTATTTGCAGCATAACTAGCCTGTTCATTAATTCTTGTGTTGCATTCATCGATAACTTCTTCGCAACCTTGACTCTGGAAAAAAAATTGTTGGTTAGTAAGCAATCCATGTCACTGATGCAAAATAAGGTAAATCTGTTTCTATTTGCTACACTTGCTTCATTATTTGCATTTTACACCTATATACAATTGAAACAATCTCAGTATAAACAAATCTAGAAATAAAAGGGCATGTGGTACTAAAATTATAATAGATTTCAGTAGATGTTCCAGACTTCCACATCTGTCATGTAATGTAGCAGTGAGAAACTGATAAAGAACCTTATTCACAATTATACTAAGTCTCTTTTACGCTGCTCTGGCAGTGTACTGAGACTTTAAACTGAAGCTTTATTGTAAGTGAGAATAAGACTCAACATCTGTAATATAAAAGCAGAATACAAGTTAGTGATTATAATTAGTATTTCAAGCCACACAGTGAATAAATACTGCAGCTCTGAGTCTTGAAGATGGTAGAAATACTGCTACAATTTTTACAGAAGCATCAATTTTCAAACACTCTGAACTAAATTGAAAATTTTCACTTCATTTATTTTTCGGACTGGATTTTACTTCTGCTTTACAAGCTAATAATTTTAAGTTAAAAGTTTAAGACCAATACTGGATATGCACTAATAATCTTGATTTTCTGGTTCATTTCCCCCTAACTATTTTAATGCATCAGTACATGGGTAACAACCTTTTGGCCAATAAGCATAGGTGGCACAAAACTCTGCACCTTTGAGAGATCTGTTCCACTCATATACTCTTCAATCTCACACATACAACTTTCCCTTGCTTGCTGTGATGTCCCCATCTTGAAAAAATGGGCTTGAGACCCAACAGACACAAGCAAACAGATTCCCTCCCACTGCTAGCTGTTAACATCCTTCCTCCAAGAGGCCCAAAATTCCACTCAGTTACTAGAGAGGCTATACAGATTTGTCTGGGCCCCACAAATTTTATTTCACACAAGGCCAGATCTGATGAACGTAACTTCATGAGCAATGCAGATGTGCTCTTTATGGAAAATGAAAACAGACATATGTTGGGAAACTAACACAGCAGGGCACAGTATATTCAACAAGTTCCTCGACTGCACTGGAGATAATTTTTTATTTCAGAAGGCTGAGAAAGCTACTGGGGAAGCAGCTGTTCTAGATTTGATTTTAACAAATAAGGAGGAACTGGTTGAAAATTTGAAAGTGGAAGGCAGCTTGGGTGAAAGTGATCATTAAATCAGAGTTCATGATTCTAAGAAATGGTAGAAGTAAGAACTGCAAAATAGAGACAATGGATTTCAGGAAGGCAGATTTTAGTAAACTCAGAAAGCTGGTAGGTAAGGTCCCATGGGAAGCAAGACCAAGAGGAAAAACAACTGAAGAGAGCTGGCAGTTTTTCAAAGGGACACTATCAAAGGCCCAAAAGCAAAACCATTTTGTTGCATAGGAAAAATTAAAAATATGACAAAAGACTGCCTTGGCTTAACCAGGAGATCTTGCATAATCTAAAAATTTTTAAAAAAGAGTCATATAAAAAGTGGAAACTAGGTCAAATTACAAAAGATGAATATAAGCAAACACAGTTATGCAGGGGCAAGATTAGAAAGGCAAAGGCACAAAACGAGCTCAATCTATCTAGAGACATAAATGGTAAAAAGACTACATTCTATAAATACGTTAGAAGCAAGAGGACTATAAGACGACTTTCCAAATGGTAGTTCCTCAGGGCCAGATGTCTTTGCAGGCAAGTTTCTATAAATCTTTCCAGAGCTAGATTAGAGGCACTTATTTTATTACACTTTCAACTAAGGATTTCAAAGCACTATACAGGCATTAGTGAATAAAGCCTAACTGCTCTCTAGTAAGACAGATGACTAATATCTTTGTTCTACACATGAAAAGGATGATGGTTTTGAGAAACAAACTATAGGTTGCACCTCCTAAATCCTGGATTCTGTCATCCAGCAACATCTGTGGTCTGGCATGACCACGGATGTTCCTGGATGAGAGAGCCCGGGGGCAGGAGAGCCAGCAGCTAGGAACCTGGTGCAGCCCCGCGAGTCTGCAAGCAGAGAGGCCACAGCAGCCTGGACGGAGTGTGCTTGGGACTGCCTGTCGCCCAGCAACAAGGCCAGTACCACAGCAGGCCAGGAGGGGAAGCCTGGCCGAGCCACGTCAGCCTGGAGGTGGCAGTGCTGCAGAAGCCTGGATGGTGGCGGTGGCGATGGCAGCATGATTGGGGCTGCCTACCACTCAACAGTGGGGCCCAGGCAGCGGCCGCAGAAGCCCGAAAAGGGAAGCCAGCCACGGCAGCCCAGCAGAATCAGCACAGCCATGTGCCGCTTTGCAGCAGGGTTGGGGATGTGACAGCCCAACTGGGCATTATGCCATTTGGCAGTGGGGCTAAAGCTGCCCGGCCATCAGGCATCAGGGCTGGGGCTGGCCAGCAGACAGCCAAGCTGGGCTGAAGGAGCTGGCAGCAGGAGGGGGCAGCAAGCTGAGGGGCTGGTGTCAGGAGACCTTCTGTTATCCAGCAGATTCCCTCATCCAGAGTGCCAGACAAGAGAGGTCCAACCTGTATTACAGAAAAATACTTCACACAGTTTTATAGCATGTTCCCTCTTTAATGCTTGCTCTTCTCTTAAATGTTTTTTTTCTTGATAAGAGATTCAAGAACTCAGCTATACACATTTTCCTTCTCTTTCTGTTACTCAGCCACCTGTGTTCCAATTCATAGGGAGACTAAAGGCACCTCAAATATTGGTGTTTTTCAGCGATACAATCAATAGGTCTTTCAGATATCATCAACATATTGCCCAGAAATGTAAAATTATTAAAAAATGTTGTGATTTTTTTATTTCCTTATGTTTATCTAGATTCTGACACAGATAGCATTTTCCTAAAAAAATTCATAAAGCACTTCAAGAATAGCTCTCTTTTTACTGTCCGCTAAGATTTATGTTAGCTGCTGATGACTACATAAGCATCTAATTCGTTAGCATTAGCATCAGTTATTGTTCCTTTAAATACTTGAGGGAATATGTGCAGATTTTGAAGGCTGCACTTGGAACAATATATGCAAAGACCAATATATCAACAACCCTGCCATGTGTGGATAAAGGTTTTTTTAAAACTGTTCATCACAAATTGCTAATGAAGAGTGTACAATTAGAGCACTTCTTTCTAATACAGCAATGCTAATTGCTCTACTGGGAGTCTCAGGGAGCTTTAAACTGAGCATAAGAGGTGAATCTTGTCTGAAAGCCTGTGAAAGCTTCTGCAGATATGGAAAATAATACTGTTGGCTAATAGTCCTTCAGTTTCCTATGTAGCAAGAGATGCAACTGAGAAATCAATTTCTTCTGGCAGGGTTGTTTTTTGTTAGTAAAGATTAGAGCTGGACTGCCAACACAACCACCCCCCAATGGTGCTCAACACCCACAGTTCCTACGCAGGAATATTAGGAAAAACTATTTTATTAGGAGGGTGGTGCAGCACTGGAATGGGTTACCTAGGGAACTGGTTGAATCTCCCTCCCTAGAGGTTTCTAAGTCCCGGCTTGACAACATCCTGGCTGGCATGATTTAGTCGGGGTTGGTCTTGCTTTGGGCAGGGGACTGGACTCGATGACCTCCTGAGGTCTCTTCCAGTCCTAGGATTCTATGATCAGACAATATTTGCATTCCGAAAGTGGTGGGGGATTTGCAAGGAAATGCAGGGCTCCGGTGCTCCAGTGCAAACTAGGCATGTGGGGGAGGGGAAACAGATGGGGGAGTTGCAGGTGGAACCCCAGTGGGCTGTGCAACCCATTGAAGTGAAGGAGGTTCACTCATGTGGCCCACCCAGTATTTGTTCAAAAGTTTCAAAGGCATAGCCAAGTTAGTCTGTGAGGGTATGTCTACACTTGCAGCCTATTTCAGAATAGGGCTGCAAATGTAGGCATTCAGAATTGCAAATCAAGTCCGGGAATTAAATATCCCGTGCTTGATTTGCATCTTCCCGGCCGGGCGCCATTTTTTGAAATTTACAAGCCCAGAATAACTGCCCATGTCTACACGCGGCAGTGAAACGGGGATTTGAAATAAAGCCCTATTTCGAACTACCAGTTAAACCTCATTGCAGGAGGAATAACAGGTAGTTCGAAATAGGGCTTTATTTTAATGCCCGTTTCACTGCCGCGTGTAGACGCGGGCAGTTATTCCAGGCTTATAAATTTCAAAAAATGGCACCCAGCCGGAATGATGCAAATCAAGCACGAGATATTTAAATCCCGGGCTTGATTTGCAATTCCGAATGCCTACATTTTCAGCCCTATTCCGAAATAGGGTATGTCTACACTTGCAGCCTAACAGAAAAAACTTAAAAAACAACAAATAGTTTAGTAGCACTTTGAAGACTAACAAAAAATGTAGATGGTATCATGAGATTTTGTGGGCACAACCCATTTCTTCACATGACTGGAGTGTTGGTATTTATTAGTGGTTGCCCATTCCTGCCCTATGGACAGTGCTGCCTCTCATTTTAAATATCAGATTAAGGATTTCTGGTGAATTAATGATTGTTGTTATTTCATCCTTCTGAGATGGATAAGTTCTATAGAACTTAAAGATGAAAACAAAAGTATTCTATAGAAATTCCTCTAAAAGCCATTATAATTTTAATAGACTAGGGTGTTTTCTATAGTGCATGTGTGTTTTATTTCTGTGTTTAACCATATTTTCAGGGGACATAGTTCTTTATTGAATTCACTAAGTTATTCATAGAATCATAAAACACTAGAACTGGAAGGGACCTTGAGAGGTCATTGAGTCCAGTCCCCTGCCCTCACGGCAGGACCGTGTACCATCTAGACCATCCCTGATAGATATCTAACCTGCTCTTAAATATCTCCAGAGATGAAGATTCCACAACCTCCCTAGGCAACTTATTCCAGTGTTTAACCACTCTAACAGTTAGGAAGTTTTTCCTAATGTCCAACCTAAACTTCCCTTGCTGCAGTTTAAAAGCCCATCGCTTCTTGTCCTATACTCAGTGACTAAGGAAAACAATTTTTCTCCCTCTTCCTGGTGACACCCTTTTAGATACCTGAAAAAATTGGCATAATATAACATAAAAGTTAATTTCTTTGGTAAATTAATAAAAAAGCACTAAGGTTCTGACTATGCAATCATCCAAGATATGGTCTATATAATGTCTTTAGCACCATTCCCCCTGCCCTTTTATACTACTTTCAGTGCAAGTAAATTTGGTGAAGTCTGAAGCTTTGTAGACTATAACTGAGTGGGGAGGAAGTTAGCTTACAGAAGCTGTTTGGTTTTTTTAAACACTGATTTATATTAATCAATATATATGATTAATACAAACACCAGATTGAAATAATAATTGTTTAAATCAACTTAAATTGTAAATATCTGAAAACAAAATAAAATAATTGAAAAGTCATCTTTCACTTCCTTTAGCAAAAGGCAAAACTTGAGTGAAAGCTTTTACAAATCTCAAAAGTTCTTAATTTAACAAAGTTCAACTATTCAGTCATTTTGCTCCATTTGATGTTAAAGAGGTCATGAATCAGTTAATTTTAAAGACAGTATCTTTTTAAACCTCCTATCACATGTTCAACATCATATTACTGATCACATAATAAATCAAACATTCAAAACGTAAATAACTGGAGATAAGTAAAAATGAAAGCTAAAACTTAAATGCCAAGGTTTACCATTATCATAATTATATTGCACTTGTTTGTTTATTGGTTTAAAAATGCCATGCACCCTAGTTATGATCCAAGCATAGACATGCTTGCAGTTATTCCTCTTATATCAAATGCAAATTGTTTTTTGTAACTATGAAGTACAAAGACAACTCTAAATTTAAGTCTTCTCAAAAGAGATTAGTCAGCTTTTCAATAGTTTAGTCAAGCTGAGCAAAATCCTTCCTTCATCAGCAGTAAATACTTTGCATCCTTTGAACTGACATTCAAGTGCCTTCTTGCTCTATCCACACTACTGTATCCCTGTGAAAAAAGCTGAAAAATAGAATATTCATATCAAATATCAGGTGGAATAACTCGAGAGGTAAATAGCAAGGTATTCTGAGAAAAATAAAGTACGTACAAAGTCTGAGAAGAGAAAATACTCCTTAGCCTTTTACTCAGATCATCCTCTGGT